GTGACAAGTTACCGAAGTCCTTTGTCGCTATGTCGGTTGCCGAAGCCTCTGACGTTGCATGGTATCCAGATGCAGTCGCTTCTGCTTACATGACTCCACACGATGGTATATCTCCCTTGTTCATCCTCATACAGGCAATGACCAAATTTCATTGTGAAATGGCTCTTTTATGACAAAGTTCGTCCGGCCTCCTCCGAAAGATAATTCCCTGCTCTGTCCATACACTACTCGGACCCTCAAACCTAATTGCAGTTCCGTAAAAGCGCCATTCCATGTAGCAAAAATTATTGGATCGTAGCCCAAAAAATAACTCAGTTTGTGGTGTCATCGATTGGGCCCAACTCTGTGTTGATGTTCAAGATGTGGTCTTGATGGACTGTCCTTCAATACAGTGTAGAATTGACCTAACACTTAACACGTAAGTGGGAACACCATATGAAAAGAGGACTGAAAAATGATGGGGAATACACTGAATATTGAGAAAGAAACTGATGGTGAGACCATTAAAGGAACCCATATTTATTTGGTGCCCTCGGCTTTTATAGTCACGACACATTGAAGGGAGAGTTGATTTACAAAAATCATCCTCAAACAATCTCGAAACTATAGGTTACACCATTTTTAATGCCAAATTCCACCCATTGTATCCTGAAGTTTCAAAAAAATCTACACTTTAAACCATAGAGTTGTCGAACAACAAGAAGATAGTGTAAGGTACTTCGGAATATCAAAGTACAGGGTCTTGAAAAGATGGTTTATTTAACACATAGGTTTGGAAGTAAGAGGACGCAAAGTGTAATTAAGTAAAAAGTATGGGGTGATTTTTTGTAGTTTTGCTTGTTGTTAAGGGTTTACACTTTGAACTACAAGCCATATGGAAGCTATGAATTACACAGTTGCAGGATGAACCCATCTCAAGTTCTGGATATCAGAGGGCATTGCATTGGGTAGGTTTCCTGTTTTGAAAAGTGGTAACTGATAAGTAGACAATCCAGTTTTATAAATATTATAATGCTCGTTTTGTAGCAAAATGTTTTAAATAAGAAGCTGGCATTCATTCTTTAAGACATTTAGCCCAGTTGTCAAGCCTACTACTGTTCGAACAGTCCATTCAATTGCTATCTCTTGCTCTTGGGTTATTCATCAGCTAGATGTTAAAAATGTTTGTAGGAATGGTGTGCTCCGCGAGGAAGTATACTTGACTCAACCTCCTATGTTTATGGATTATAAATAGCCTAACCATGTGCGTCATTTACACAAGGCAATATTGGGACTTAAGCAAGCGCCTCGAGCATGGTTTAAACACTTTATTTAGTTTCAGCTTGGTGAATCTTTTAGTTGCAGCGAGGCAGATAATTCCATGTTTGTGCCTCATTCAAGCTGTGGACTCTTGGTTCTATTACTTTACGGTATGACATTCTTTTTAACAGATAGCAGTGCCACAGATATGCATAGTTTCATTCACAAGATTTCGTCTGCATTTGCCATGAAAGATTTGGACCATTGCATTTCTTCCTTGGCGTTAAGGCTCAACCTAGAGGTACAGGAGTTTTGCTGTCTCAATCACAATGCCCTAAGCAACCCATTGTCTCTCGCTCCAGTGCAGATAATCTAAACACAGGAGTGTCGCCAAAGCAGAATCTCAACCTAGAGGTACAGGAGTGTTGCAGAAATTTATTGGATTCGACAAATTTTACGTGATCTTCCTATAATTTTATCTAAACTTTATTGGATTCGACCGATTTTATGCGATCTACATATGTTTTTCTCTAAACTTGTTGAAGTCTTTGGTAATAGTGTCAGTGCCTCCTATTTAGACGCTAATCCGGTTTTCCATGCTTACACCGAGCATATTGGGAATTGATTTCCATTTTGTTCGGAAACATCGAGCGATATAATTGTGTAATATATATTCCAACTGCTGATCAATTAGATGACTCTTTTACAAAGTGCTTATCTTCTCATCGGTTTCAACTTTTTAAGGACAATATCTTTGTGGTTGTGGCGTCCCGTTCAGATCGAGGGGGAGTATTATAGTATCTTTAGTATTTATCATGTCTTTTGTTAGTTGTTTTTCAATTTCCAAGGTTTGATATGTAAAATTTGTGTAGTTGTCAATTGTTTCCAATTGCTGATATGTAGTCTTTCTAGTTGTCGACTTGTCATACATCTTTCTCAGAAGATTTAGTTTAAGAGTAATTGCTCAAGTAAATACGTGCAGATACGTATGAAACTACGATTTCACTGTATTGCAGTAGTCGTATTCCAGATTAAAAAATTAAAAACCTTCTTACTTTTTCAAATTATTCAAGATCAGGTTGAGCCACATGGGGGGCCCTATTTGCTCACGTTGTATAATCCTGCAATTGGATAGAATTTCTCGTAATTGTTTGCGAAAGGTTACAAAGCGGACCGCCTAGCACCTGCATTGGTGGCAACTGTATCGCCACGTGTCACGACATGGACGCGTGTGCGCCTTCAGAGGGCTCTTCATGCAGCAGTGCAGAACTCTATAAATGGAGGCCAAGATCGTCGCTGCAAATGGATCACCTTCATCCACCTCCTTTCCCAATCTCTAAAACTACGCAGTTCAGCCGCATCAGCATTCAGCAACCTCCAACAATGGCGTCTCACGACCAGAGCTACCAAGCTGGCGAAGTCAAGGGCCGTACTGAGGTATTTACATATGTGTTATATCTGTTCTTGAAAGCGTTGCGACTTCTGTGCACAAGCTAGGAGAAGATGGATTCCAAGCGTTGTTTAATGTGGCTCTGAACTCGAATCTTGGTGTGCCGTGCAAGAGAAGATGGACCGAGCGATGGGGGCCGTGAGGGACAAGGCCGAGGCGGCGAAGGACAAGACCTACGAGACAGCTCAGGCGGCCAAGGACAAGACCATGGAGAGCAAGGACCAGTCCGGCAGCCACATCTCCGACAAGGCCGGCGCCGCCAAGCAGAAGGCCTCCGAGACCGCTGAGGCCGCCAAGGAGAAGGCGTCGCGGGCCGCAGAGCAGGTGAAGAGCATGGCCCAGGGGGACAAGGAAACCGTGTAGCAGACCTTCGGGATGGGCGGCGACGACCGCATCCACAGGGACGACCCGACCCTATATAGGGATGACCCGCCCCGCTACACCTAATCGGCTCCTCCGGGGAAGCGAGCCGACGGTCGCGCCAGTCTGTGTGTTTTTCCATTGTGATTTTCAGATTTAGGACGTGTTTTTAGAGGTCCTCTGTGCTTTCCTATGTCTTTTGAGTTTCGAAAGTTTGCGGTTTGTCTTGTGGTGGTGACATTGTACTTCATGCACAACAGGGTAGAGGTGAGCGGTTCCAAATTTCATACCTTCGTATATAGGTTCTTCATTTTTTAAAATCTAGAACCTACCCGTCGAAACCTAGAACCTAGCTTGTCACAGGTTCCAGACTAGATTTCAGGATCTAACAGGTTTTTTTTTATTGCATTTTTAATTAAACAAAATAAAAATAAACGCAACAATATTAAATAAGCTTCTCATTTATCAAAGAGAATACAAGAAATTAATTTTCCTAGCATTACAATTCAAATAAATATAACTAAAATGAGAAGCCATTGGGTGAATTGATACCAAGGGTGAGCAGTTCTGTACAGGTTTCTATTTTTTGGAACTTGGAACCTACCCTATCACAGATTCTTGATACTAAGGGTGAGCAGTTCCATGTTCCGTATAGGTTCCTCATTTTTTGGAACCTGGAACCTATCCTATCACAGATTTGAGGATCGGTTCCAGAGTCTACTCAGGTTACACCTGTATTATTAATTGAACAATTGTAGTGAATGATCACATTTAATAACCATCACTTACTGCTATGATTTACTAACCACAACTTATATTTAGACACACGAAAAATATGAAACATTAACAAGTCATAAAATAAAAGCTCATGTTAGTGGTTTCAGATTATGCACTCGTCATCTAATGACATGAAACACCGCAGGATCACGAGAAGACAGGTTCAGGTTCCAGACTCCACCTACCTGGAACCTATCCGTCAAAACAAGTTCCCCAATTTTTAAAACCTAAAACCTACCATGCATACTTTGGAATATGGAATCTACAGATTCTTATTAATCAGGTTCTCAGGTTCCAGGATAGATACTGGAATCATGCGCACCGCTACACAGCAGCTCTGCTTTTCTAATGGAATAAAAATTCTTTCCCTTTGTCCTTGCAAGTTGTGACTCCTCGTCTTGCTCTGTTTGCCAACTCAAAAAATGGTGGAAAAAGATGCAACCAATGAGTTCCCAAAAAACATAAAATGATTCAACAAGACAAAAGGTGGGAAAGAAATGCAAAATACATATCATCGGGAAGAAATTTTTGAACTCGTGAATCCAACCGATCTCTCTCGTACAAGACCAATCTAGGCCATTTACGATCTGATTGCTCGTCCCTAACCCACTTACATATATCACGGTATGACAAAAATCAGCTCCATGAAACAAAGTTTGTTTTTGTTTACATCGATGGATTATTTTATTTCATCTATATTCATGTAACATGAAAGAGGATGTTCTACGTTTAAAGATTGTTTCTTTTCTAAAATATCCTCAATTAGTTAATTTTATTAGTATTTAAACAATGGATGGAGGAGTGATGGTATAGTTTTATTTTATGTCGCGTATGACAATTTCAAAATTCTTGAATCTCTTTTTATCGAGTCTTAGGGTGTTAATTCCTGTATATTGTGCAAGTAACTAATTTATAATAAACCTGCTGATCCGGATAATCCGTAATGCAAGATCCCTTGTACACACCATACAAGTAATTTGCATGTGCACCTTCACTAATCATTATTATAATAATGAAAAACGGAAGGTTTAAGGTTTAGGAAACTTCGTCATCTCCAATTTTGGTTAAAAAAAAATAAAGGGTAATTTGAGATATATTTTAGGAAATTTCGATCCAAAGAAAAAGATATACTTTAGGAAATAACGAAGATTAAAGTAATAAATTCGATTTTCTAATTCAATCTAATGTTGGTTTATTAATGATAGTCGGTCTCCGCTCCTCACGCCCATAAAGCCCCACCTGAGTAGAAGCTCTCGTGTGCAAAGTCTTCGTCGTAGTCCGGCGCGCGTGTGATTTTCCGGTGAGCTCCTCTGTGGTTTCTCTGTTCCGTCGTCGTCGTCGTCTTCGTCGTCTTCCCGTCGATCCTTCGCTCTTCTTTTCCGTTCTTTTTCTTCTGGGTTTTCCTTTTCTTGCGGTTCTGTTTGATGGGCGCGTCTTGATTTTCTTGGCCTTTTGCTGGTTCGGTCTTCTTGCGGTCGCTTGGATCTCTGGAATTTCTCTTTACCGGGTTCGAATCGATGTTAACGGATCGTGGGTAGTCGTGATCGTTTCCCGTGCTTTTGTCTACTGTCCATCGCAGCGACAAGTCGGGATCCGTTTGCTTAGTGTGTCGTAGGTTCTGGTTGGTGGCGAAAGAACCGGTTTTGGATAGAGCCAGGAGATTTCGCGTCGTTTTGAGATTCTGGGTCATGTTTTTCTGCCTCAACTTCGTGTTGTGCGCTGTTTGGGGTTCTCTGATTCTTAGGGATGATGGTGTAATTACGAGATTATTGTGGAGGGTAGGGTTTGTAATCGCGTTCTCACATGATTTTGACGTTCCTTTGTTATCTGGCTCTGTTCGGTTTAATGGACTTGGATTATCTTAGTTGTTTGTGATTGCCTTTTTCTTCTGTAGAATCATCCGGTAGAGTCCGGGGCCAGCTTAAAAATTGTATCTTTTTGGCTTTCCATCAATTGAAATTCCTAGATGACTTCAGATGTCAGTTCTTAATGCGTTCAAGAAATTAGGAAGCATACGATACTAAATAAAATTCAAAATTTCATGTGTTAAAATCAAAAGAGACGACATTAGACAATCCCGATCGTACAATGCTTGGTTTACATCTGAATAAGAAACCAACTCCTGCGGCAGGAGTTTTTATGTTATTTGACTGATTCTGTCGCTTGTATGTTACAGAGATTTTGAAAGTGCTTAGTGGGAAAGTATCAACAGTCTAGAATGCCAAAGGATAGAACAGTACGTTCCATTGTCGACCATCGGTCTTCAGCGGCTCCTTATCCCTGCTCCCCCCAGCATGTTAAGTTGTGCGAGTCCAACAACACAGTTGATTCAGCTGAAAACATCAGGGAATGGGAGGAAGCTAGGTGCCCCATTTGTATGGAGCATCCTCACAACGCGGTCCTCTTGATATGTTCATCTCAAGAAAACGGATGCCGGCCATACATGTGCAACACTAGCCACCGCCATTCAAATTGTCTCGATCAGTTCTATGGATCACCAGTTCCGTCTCCCTCAACAGCATTACCTCAACAAGTCCCTCCATCAGCCACAATAGAGGGACAGATGATATCTAGTAGTGGCGGTCTTTGTGGGAGTGGTGTGGACTCGAAGCTCGTCTGCCCTTTTTGTAGAGGGAAGATATTGGGTTGGGTTGTCATTGACGCTGCTCGCCAGTACATGAATTCCAAGCCGAGGAGTTGTTCCTTGGAGACGTGTTCGTTTACTGGGACTTACTCAGAATTAAGGAAGCACGCTAGATCTGAGCACCCGTATATCAGGCCTTCGGAAGTGGATCCGTCACGGCGGCATGATTGGACGAGGTTGGAACAGGAAACAGAGCTCGAAGATTTCCGGAGCACCCTAGAGTCAGCTTTTCTTGAAGATGAAACGGATGCTGGCCATTTGTTTATGGCAGAAAATCGGAGTCTGGATCAAATGGCCCCGTTTGAGGTCGATTGGTCGGCCAATTTATCCTGGGCCTTGTCTGTGGCAGAGATGGTGAATGAGTTCCTCTTGCAGAGCCTTGACCAAGGCCACAGACAGATGCGAGGCCGGATTCCAGCGCGGAGGACACCGCGGGGAAGATATGGATATGAGTCCAACGGTAGTGTCCGAAGGGCCAACGACTTCTCTGCCGGTAGGCGTCATGCCCAGAGGCTTAGGTGGCGTGATCACAGATGGTCGGCATCTAGCAATAGGCGGTGATTACTAGAACATGGTCCTTGTGGACGCGGAATATGGTGATCGGAACATGACAGCCCCTTTAATTAGATGCGTAATTGCTGTACATTGTCGTCTTGGAAGAACATAGAATCAATACATTGTCGTGCATGTTTTTATTCTCTCTTCTTGCATGTCTTCTAGCCTTTGAATGCTATGGTTTTTTCTCTCTTCTAATCATTGAATGGCTAGCCTACTGGGTGACAACTTTCAAATGTTCACTTAGCGTACATATTGATATGTTCAATCTTCTTGTACCAATTTACGATTTTCTTAATGGCTAACTTTCATATTTCAGTTAGTGTGACCCCATTAATTACTGCGAAAGTTTCTACGAGGTTCAAATATACAATTCTCAATAAATCAACTTTCCATTGCAAGTGAAAACCAACTGAACAAGTCACCTGGCACTTTGGCCTAACATGATCTAATGGTGGAGATCGATTCGTTAAAGAACATTCGTTGCTTAATGCAATTCAAATTCGTTCTTATTACGCACGGCGGGCTACACCTTTGAAGACAATCTGGGTACGCACGACCAAAACACGGAAAATCACATATAAAGAAGAGTAGTTCAACCCGTAGTTTCTATTGTTGAAATTCATGACGACGATTTCACAATTATAATGGGAAGAATTGACTAAACTCTTCCTGAATACAAAACTGTCCTATTAAAACATCTGAAGAAGAAACACAATAACCCATCTACAAAAATAAGATGCTCAAGAGGCCCGATTTGCAGTTACAAACAATTGAAACCCGAGATGTCAGAGGATCATTAAACATATCTACAATCAATGAATGCGAAGTGGAGGACTTTAAGGAACGCCCCTGTTCTGTTGTGTACTGCCAAAGACTGAAAAGAATGCTTTCGAAGATGGCACTCCAGCTCTTAGACGCTGGGAGTACTCTGTATATGAAGGGGCTCTCTGCAAGATATTGTAAGGATGGCATGATGATCTGGTAATGTTATCAATAAGACAACAGTTATGAGCCTTCCCATCAAACAAATACTCGGTAAAGCGGTTCTTATCTCATGGTGAGCCCTTCTGTCTGGTGCCTGCAGAACACAAATACCGAAGCATATATTCATTTGAAGCACATGTATCTGCCAAGTCTTGATGCATTCTTGTGATTGCCTTTTGCAGGGATTTCAAGGCAGGAAGCAGAGTCCTCGAATTTTGTTGGATAGACTGACCATGAGCTTTGCAGATTTCCTGCCAAACAAGCCGAGCGATATTATAATTGAACGTATGAACAAGCTATTGAACCCAGATATGTTTAAACATTCAAGACCTCACGTAATACCTGGCACCACCGAAGAATGAACTCCAAATGGGGGCAATTTTCTAAAAGACCAGCAAAAGCTTCTATTAGCCTCTGCAAATATCTAGAAGGAATTGATGAAGCAAGAGCTGGAATGTCCGTCGGACTTGCAGCAAAAACACATTTCTTGATCAGTGTATCTTCATTCAAACGAAGACTGAGAATCAAAGCCCTCTTTATTAAACCTTCACTTAGAGCTGCATCAATGGCCTGGGAAACAAAGGTGAAAACAATTATGGATGAATAAGTCTGCTGCTTCAAAATTCCAGTATAAGCACAACAAGCCATTTTTGCAATCACCACTTTGCCTAAGATGTCTCACAAAACTAAATTAAACTTTTTGACATTCCTTCCTCATAGCTAAGACCAGATGTTACCATCCAACTGCTGTACCTCTGGTGTCACATCAATGTCTAGATCAGTTGGATCAAAGATGAAAGTGTCGTCAGTGGAGTAAACTAGAACCCCCTCAGTTGTTGCAGCTGCAAAACTCCTACCAGTTGGGGCAATTCTCAGGCATTTCGTTCGAATAATGGGGCGTCCATGGTTAGGCAAGGATCCCGGTAAGTCATAGCCTAACTTTCCCCGGGTTTGTCTGTCAACTCCTTCTTCTGTGTCGGTATCGTCATCATCAAACAAATCTAGAGGTCCAGCATCTGTCATTTTCTTTGAATTCAAGAAATCAAGTACTCCATCTAGAGACAGATTATGGGTTATCTGAAACCTCCGTAGCAAAACCTGTGAACCGTAGATAAAATGCATTAGTAGATAGCCAATAAGAGGTAGAACACAAATGCACCCACTCAACATAGAGGAAAGATAGAGAAACCTAAGCATGCGTCAAGACAGGCAATACAAACAGGTATTTCTCCGTGTATAATTTGGAAATAATTGGTAAGGCAATCAACTGCTGACCAATTAAAATGTCAAGCCACAAGCAGTTTCAAGTTTTGTCTACACTTGGCCTAAAAAAGGGGGGAAGAAAAGGTCTTACTATTTTTGTCCTTCCTGAAAAAGGTTCTTCATAGAAAATGAGATTACTTATTACTATTTATCACAAAAGAGTCAAATATTTGGAGCAGTGCAGCCTTTACAGTGCAGAAGACTGCTTGGGCACTGGATTTACTGGCCATTACACTTCTCAAGTAACCAAAGAAAACCTTGTTGCATCAGATGCATACCAAGTTGGAGCTCCAAGAAATAAAATAAATGACGTGTATCATAGACAAATTCGACCTGATTAAAAAAATGAGAGAAATTATTGCACATTTTCACTTGCACAGGAAACTACGGCAACATGCAGAAAAAAAAGACGAGACATTCTGCCTCAAGTACAAAGCGGATCTTAACTTGCAGCATATAGTAAGAACAATGTGAAAAGTCCTTTATTCTCCCTGAAAATTGCCAGGTTAAATCTCTAAATCTTCTGATCAGATTACAAATGATCCGGCACACAAGCAATTATATTTATAATATAAAGAGTTACGAAATCTTGACCTAGGACAGGTGTAAGTTTAATTTTGTTAATCAATCCAAGTTTCTGTAATATTATCTTCCGATCACAAAAAGTGCCCTAGATGTATGAATACAAAAAAATAAATAGGAACATACCACCAAGACTAGAGATTTTTCAGAGCATTGCAACGTTAGAGCATCGACAAAGCGGGACATAATAGAACTGCTAAAAACCCACCTGTTCGGTAACATCATACAAACAAATGAATTTGCTACTTCCTCCAGCTAGAATGTAACTCCCATCAGCCGAATAACATAGAGTTGTAAAGTATTTTCCAGAACTTGAGTTAGCAGCTGCTCTACGATCTGTTGCAAGTCGACCCCCAGCAATGTCTCTACGACCCTCAATTGTGTACATCAACAAGCCATCAATTGGATCCCAGAAATGAATCTGTCCATCTAATGTACTGCAAGCCAACTGCTTTCCATCTGGACGATAAACAACTGTAAGAACGTCATGTGTGTGAGGAAATGTTTCAACAGCGCCTTTTGCCTCAAAAACATCCCACAGTTTGACAGTCTTGTCCCATGAGGATGAAGCTAAGATTGCCTAAGATGGATACAAAAAATTCATCAGCCAAAAAGATGTAACAGAACCAATCGTTAAAAATCCAAACTACACTGGAACATTCAAGAATTCAATTACCAAACATGCTTTAAGATTATAACGGCACCAGAAAAGCAATGACTTAGAAATAAGCACACCAGAATTAATGCAGACTCAAATAATAAGTGAAAATTAAGATCATGAACAGTAGTTATAAGGAAAACATGGACAAAAAGCACAAGCTACTCACACTGGCGGGAGAGAACATCAAACCATGAACAGGGCCTTCGTGACCACTAAGAACATCCAACAAGCGGCCCGTCTTCATCGACCACACAAAAATCTGGTACAAGCGAAAAAATTCGGTTAGGATTATAAATAACTACGAAGCAGTAATTCCTTTGCCATGATAAAAAAAAATAACCTCAAATGAATCAAGGGTTCCTGCACATATAACTTCACTGCTCTGGTCTGCAGTCAAAGAAACAAACTGCCTAGAAGAAGGGGTTGTAAATGTCCTGAAATTTCGATAACGGAATAAATCCCAGGCACGAACAGTCCCATCAAGGGATGCACTAAGGAGGCAGTGGTTATTAGCCATAAAATGGAGAGCAGTAATTGCATTGGTGTGCTCCGAAAATGTCACAAAGCAGAAGCCTGAGGAAACAGTCCAGACCTGGAACGCGCAAAAGAAGCTTCCACATCAGGTCAAAGTGTCCATCAACACAAAGTAGCATCAATTGTTGAGAAATAGAATCTTCGCAGTATATAGAAAAGAAATGAGCAAACAAAATCAGGGCCATGATGCTGGCAAAGTCAATTTGCCAAAAATTTCCTTCTATCAATTCTTAGGGGGTGGGGCTACTTCCACCCCCATTTTAGATGGAACCACACGTTTTTGTTTAAAGTGACAAAAACATCCTTAACTTTGAATGGAAAGCAAGTGAATTTTAATAATGTTTGAGAATGGTCAAGGAATGAAATCAGTCTCTATGGTTTAAACAAAAAAATCCAATTGTTTTATAGAATCACACTTTTTGTACAGGACTTAGAATGGTTAATAATAAAGGAAAAAATATTCTGAGGTCATTTCCACCCTTAACTTTGAATGGAAAGTAAGAGAATTTTAATAACGTTATTAATACTTAACTGAGTATCAATGGCATAAGGGTGTTATTGTCACTTTATATAAAAAGATGGTTCCATCCAAAATGGGGGTGGCAATAGTCCAGCCCTTCTTAGGGAGGTCAAGTTGATTCGATGCTTTAAAAAGAGAACCTCTAAGTAATGCAAGCACTCAGCCGCAGGAAGCTTAAGGTGCAGCTTGCTTGGCAAAATACCAATAGAACTTTTACATGAACCACCAGAAACTCTTGTCCAGGTTTAAGCACACACAACTTCAAAGCACACACATCTACCCAAATCACAAGACATTTCCAATGGATGTCAAGCATGCAAAGAAAACGATTTTCTCATGGAGAAAATCGAAATTACCTTCACTTTGTTGTCATCTGCTCCAGTGGCCAAGAGCTGCGAATCAGGTGAATATGCAAGGCAGTTCACATCGAAATAATGTCCTTGTTGCTTCAGTATGTAACTCTCGGATTTCCACTCCCACACAAGCAACTGCCCGAGCTTTGCACACCCAAATGTCAACCAATTACCAAGCTCATTGAATACTGCAGTCGTGATCTTCTCCTTTGAGATTGACAACAAGTGGATGCAGACAAAATCGGGCATTTGGTACAAGCCAAACACACCATTAGAGAATCCTACAACCAGGAGGTCAAGTCCACAGTGATAGTCGCAAGATGTCAATCTGGCCGGTGCTTGCATAAAACTATCCTTCCTCAGCAACACCCATTTACCTCTATGCAACAAACACTCACCATCCTCCACACCATCTTCGTTATCACCAAGCTCCTTCCTCTTCTTCGCATTAACTTCCAAAGTCCTCTCATTACTTCTCTCTGGAGTCCCCGGTGCAGGCGGCTCCTCGCCGCCCGTATTTTCCACATCCCCACTGTAACCCCAGCTGAATATGTAACTATCACGAGTTATCGTGTAAATCCGATCGACCCTGTCCGTCCTTTTCTCCATACCAAAGAAACAGCCAACAACGGAATCTCTATGACCCAAAAACAGAAAGGGCTTATTAAAACCACCCTTCAATTTCCTCACACAAAACAACCTCGCCGTCAAATCTTTCGACCCGACCAGCAAATACAACGAATCGGGGCTCCACTTCAACGACGTCACTTTATCATCGCAATCGGCGAAAGTCCTAACCAGCTCAAACGGGAAGAACTCCTTCCTAAATCCCGGGGACCGCCATATCTGAACCAACTTACCGGCGCCGACCGCGATGAGCTTGCCGTCGGGCGAGAACTCGAGGGCGCTCACGGGGTGCTTGAAGGTGATCCGGTGCAGCACGGCGCGGCGGGGGAGGTTGATGAAGAGGCAGCGGCGGTTCTCGTCGACGGCGAGGAGGAAGGTGCCGTCGGGGGAGGCGGCGAGGCGGGCGATGTTGGAGGAGCACTGGATGGGGAGGGTGACCGTCTGGGACTTGAGGAGGTCGGTGTCGGAGATGCGGTTGCCGACGGGGGAGATGAGGTGGGTGTTCCTGGAGATGACGGCGTCGCCGCCCCTGTAGGGGGCGCCGAGGAGGTTGTGGAACCTGTAGTTCATGGCGGGTCGGCGAGAAAGTGAGGAAAAATGCGGCAAAAATCGGAACTTTGAGTTCGCCCGGAAAGTGTTGGGGCCGCGTAGGGGTTTTTGGAGGGTTTATCAGATCTCCAGGCAGACAAAAAGTGGAGTTTTGTGGCGAATATGGGCCCAGAAGAACAGATGAAAAACGACTTGAGGCCCATAGAGAGAGAATTTTCTCTCTCTTCGATTACAGAATTTACAGTAGCTCGGATTAAATTTTTACAAGATTAGCAAACTAACTAATGTCATGGATTCTTGCCCATTTTTGGATGTGACCCACTTGTCCAAATGTAAGACTTCTGTGCCAATTTCCGCAAACAATGTTGATGCATCATTCTTGATATGGATGCGCTATGCGTTTGTTTTGGGCAGACATTAGAACATACGGTAATCTGATGTTTGATACTCGCATGTTGACTTGTTCTAGTGCTTGAGACGGACGCTCACGGCAGCAATTGTGATCCGGCCGAGTCATCAGATGCTCCTCCTTCCCGAGAAGTCCTGATACGCCTCGATTCTCGCCAGTGCTTGATGAATTGATTTCTGAGTATTCTAATGTCTATTCAGTTTGCTCGGTTTGATCGGTTCAATCGTTTAGATTGTGCTTCCTGTGACTCTTCTCAGTGCCTGACTAGTTTATGAGAATGTTTTAAATTGTTTTTGCTGTTGCAGGAATCCCCCCATTCGTCAATTACTTTTGCAATGTTTCTCTCTTGATTTAATCTAAAGTGTTGCGCTATGCAGAACGATTTTCAGGAGCTGATTTGCCGCCTGCTTTTCCTGTCTTTAAATCAACTCACATGTTCTCTTAACCAGAACCTAGTCCGGGAAACCCGGGAAAGATTGTTTGATAAATCACACCAATTGGTCATGTCCTCGTATTATCTGTTTCTGTCGTTTCCTAGAGAAGAGAGTTTCAGCAGGTTCAAGTGAGGATTTGCATTTCCCTACATTGGCCAGTGTCCTACTCAGCCCAAGCAAGAGTCCTGCAGTCCTGTCTGCATTCAGGAATATGTAGCTGATTTTTGCAGGAGTTAACCATACAAATTCTGTTGAGCGTTATCCACCAGCCGGCAAAGTTGAACCTCTTTTATACTACAGGACTCGTTGAACTGTGTAATTTTCCCTTTCATTTTGTTCATTTACCTTCCTTGCAAGTGAACTTTGAAGGACCCCTTCAGTTGTTGAACTTTCCAAATTTTCCAGACTTCCACAGCACACTTGAAGATCAAGATTTGTCCATTCCTAAGCTCACTCAAAAGAAGAGTAGGATCTATGTGAAGCTCACTAGTGGCACAGAGTTTTTGTCCGTCGATCTTGCAGGTAGACTCCTTGCATTAGATAAGACCTCATTCTTTATGGAATCAAGCTCATCACATATCCATCAACCTAAGTGTTCAATGAACCAAAAAGTCTGTGCCATGGTTTCTCTAGGCTATTCATGCGCGCTTCTATGTCGAGATCGAGAGAGAGAGAGAGAGAGAGAGAGAGAGAGAGAGAGAAGCTGCCACATGAAAGATAAAACATAACTCATCTTTCGTAAAGAATTCTAAATTCCGGAAAAAAGTAGATCTCTACTAACCATTACATGCTACATATGTGTAAGCAGCACTTCCAAAAACTTTATTACGATAGGCAAGAAGAAAATAGCGAAGGTGAATTAAACTGTATAGCGTGTACCCCCCCTCATCCACTTCTCCTTGTATCGGCATTCATCCTACTTTTCATTTATTCTCTCCTCGCTTGGTAATATGTCGGTCATCCATTCTTTTTCCACCAATGCCTGAGGAAACTGAAGCTTCGGTATTGAATCAGTTATGAGCCATAACCCTCGAGCCCCAGCCTAGCAGTAAGCCAATGGCAAACGTCTTCCATCTCTTTAGGGACCGTGTAATGACCGAGCCTGCGCATTCATGCATTAGCATTCATAAATGTATAAGTCTGATAGTCCAGTGTATACTTTTTTCCTAATATAAGGGAATCAGCTCAATACCCATCATGAGACTTGAATGTAACGTATTGGAATCCTGCTGAGCTCAAGTAGCGGGATGACCTCTCTCCAAAATTAAAAGGGACTACATCATCACCTGTGGCAGAATCGAGAACGCCCTTATTTCCCATTTAGAGGGGCCGAAAATCACTAGAATTGAAAGAACTTGCGAGAGAGACTGAAAGAGCAAGATTTACGAGAAATACTAACATGTGCCATGGCAAAGAAAAATAGGCAAGGATGAGGCACGCCTTGCAGCATCATTGGAAACCTCCATTTTGTTTCTCAAGCTCCTGTGATAGAAAGCGAGAATTAACTTGTCTGAAAGAACATGTTTGGGTAACCCCTTCCAACTTTATCAATTTAGGCTTCCTTCAGATAACATGACTTTAGCAGGGTTCATATTGTTAGTAGTACCACGCTAAAATCGAGAAATAAGTCGGATATGCTGAAGAAATAGCTGAATCAGATTACTTCTCTCCCGAAAAGAAGGTGACTTGGTATGAACTATGCAGGACTCTGGCTACTAGAGACTTCATGATATTCTTTTGACAACAATAGACACAGAGTCTCGTAAACCAAAAGAGAGGTGCGATTGCTCCCAAAATTTTTTTTTTTTTGTCTAAACATAACCTATGGAGAAAAGGAGTGTGGACTGACCGTTTACATGGAAAATATAAAATGCTTTGAATAATTACCTTGAGCCTGGAAGCCAACCACTCAAACCGATAACTGCCCTTAAGTTGATTGGGTATGGACTTCCATTTGCATATTTACCCAGAGCGAAACAGGTTGCCGAGTAAATAGCTGTGGCAGCACCCATACTGAAGCCTCCAATGCCAACTTTCACTGCAAAAACATGACAAGTGGTTGCTACATCACGAAATGTTATTCAAGATGGAATTGTTGATTGATCAGCAACCTAGTAAATATCAGAGAAGCACATGGTACATACTATCAGCCAAAAAGACAGTGGTGTTGCAAATGATTGTGACTGCCTTGGGTATTTGGACTATCTATTAGTAATCTTTCCTACTTCAAAAGTTGCGAAAAAGTGAAGTTCTTATACCAACTTTTTGCTTAATTGACGACCACAATCTGAAAATTAGTTCCAGAAGGTAATCCAGAATAAAAAAATTAAAGATTGCATGTATTAAAGAAATGCTTCTTCTACAAAATTTTCTTCCGGTCTTAATTACCATCAGCTGGTTCTGTCGACAAAAGATTGGCAATATGCGCTGCTGAAGCATCTAAGCCTTCCCAATCATCTGGACTATCTTCTGAAATCTCTCGAACGTCAAACCCTGGGAACATGCATCAAAACAGACTTTTAAATTACAATAAAAATTTATCACATTGGAAAAAAGAAAAGATAGGAATAGATTAATCATCTTACATGCAGTACAAGGAAATCCGCCTACCAAAGCCACGGGACGAGTGGGAGCAGTTGGACAGATCCATTTAATCTGCTTGAGGAAAATTGTTTTCTAGATGTATAAGCCTCCTGATATCAGACTAATTCTTATTTTGAGCAGCAGAGATTAAGGAGGAGCGCACTTACATTAGGAAGAGAGAGGGATTCCAAGTGCTGGGACAAGCTGAGCCAGCCAAAGAAAGCAGATTTAGAGTTTACTTCATTTTGAAATTTTCATGCAGATGAAGGACATCAAAATATGCATAGCCTTAGGACCAACACAGTGGGAAAGTTTCATCTCAAGAACTTGAGAATCTACAATGGCCACCACAGAAAGTTCTTCTACCCCGATTTGGACATTCTCATCTGTCGTAATCATTTAAATAGCTATACCGTAGTGAGAATTCTCTCTATAACATTTTCTGAGACTGAGCGTCCAAAAAAGTCTCTCCCAGATCATTATATTTGTTTGAGTTAGGAATATTCTTATGCAAAATTAGAGAGCAGTCGTTCAGCTGCAGTGAAACCCAGTGGATTAGTGGTCCCTCATCATTAAAAACTACTACAAACACTCTCATTCAGGCTAAGCAGAAGCCCTAGGTTAGCTTCAGATAAGACAAGACGAAAGCATACATACATACACCCATATATGTCTATGATATATTGGAATAAGCACGAGTTAGAATCTCCAAAACAAAGTTGCATCATCTGGACCACAATATCCCGTGAATTGTTGAACATGCCAAGACACTGATATTCTTTAATAAGTTCCTTTTCTTTCTCAAGCATGAAAATAAAAAGTGACCATGTACAAAGTACAACGTGGCTTTTTGGGAAAAAACCAGGGAACATACTAGAACAAACATTCGTGAAAATGAAACCGGGCATAAACGAGAGACATGAATATCTTAGACTAGAATGTGTTCTTCTCTCCGCTGCCATAATGATAGCATAATGAAGAGTGAAGAAAAAGACACTCAAAAATTAATTCAAGCAAATTTTAAAAGGATGGAGCTCTATCCAAGAAGAAAGGGCTTCTTCCTCAACAAAAGTTCTTTTTTTTCACACAATTTGGCGTAGAAAGAAACCGCACTAAAAGAGTTAAAGCAGAGTGATGATGGGCAAGACTACCTCGAGCCATTATCACCAAGGCCATGCAGCCAAACAATAGTGGCCTGGTGTCTCCCTCTTGGCCGCACCACATGTGTTCGCCCAAATTCAAATGTTCTTCGGGACATTCTATTACCTGAAATTAGTTGCAAAAACAAGGTCATTATGAGGGGCAACAATGCGAAAAAGAGGTATTTCCGCTTAGGACTGAAAAGATAACTTCTCTCGGGACAATGCTGCCATGCTATGCTGGTGAAAGTGGAAAGCAGTATCACTATGCTTCTTATGCTATGCACTAAAAATAAAAGAAAAATCTAGCTCTTGTTCTCATGCATCATTAGGAATGGCAGAACATGAAAGATTAAGCATTAGTCTGACTAAAGATGGACAAACCAGAACTTGATGAATGCTGCTGATAGCTCATTCCCCTAGCTCTAGAAAGCACACGGAAATAGCAGTTGAGCTGCGATGACTGCTATTGAAGAGCTGCAATGAAAAAACAAAGGGTGACTGTATGTATTTATAACCAAATGAACCGAAGGCGACGTGGGAAAGGAATAGAACATTATGAATATGCATCACTAGGAATGTGTAGCAACCGCACCAGCTCACATTGCTCCAAAGAAAACGCCTAGAAACTCACAAGAGAGAGACAGGGAGAGGTATCCATTGAAAAAGATAGGCAAAGACAACAAAAAGCCAAAAGGAAAACATTTAAAAAAAGCAAGATATCTTTTTGGGGCTCAGAGAATCAAAGCAGGGCAAAGCACCATCGTCCACACTCAAGCTAGCCAGCTTACCGATTTACAATGTTAGAGAGGAATAAATGCTTGCAAGCAGTGGCAGAGGGAAAAACAAACCCAAAAGCAAGGCCCACAGCAAGTGAGGAATATTTCTGAATGCAGGAAGGAATAACCCAAATTGGTAAAAGAAAATATCTTTCTTTTCAACAGACCTTTTTTAGTTTATAGATTTCTGGTGACTGATGGATACCCATTAGTCGGAAAGTGAAGTTCCATCCCATAAATTGCATTTTTTCAGGACCCAATATGGAAAAAACGAAGGAGGGAAAACGGAGACTTCGAGAGAGAGAGCTGGGGTTATCATATTTTACATTGAAGTTTTGAAGCTTCTAGTCATTCATGAGTTACCAACCTGTTGGAGATTAGACAGAAGACAGAGGAACTGAACTTTTTCCCTCTCCTTCCTCTCCTGTTCCTTGCTTCTTACTGTGCTTTTTGGTTTCTGCCATTGGTGGAGTCCCGATCTTTGTTTGTATTTTTACATTGAACAGAGCACACGACAAAATCCCAAACCGCGCGAAACACAATGTGACATTTGTCTCCGGACAAAATGATGACCTGATCTAATTTCCTACTCAATTTAACTGATCTGCTGTCTCTTGTCTTGTCTCCTGTGCTGCATAAATCTCTTACCTCAACTAATACATCTCAACCCATAATTCATGGAAGAGGTAATTTGCCATTAATCAAATGTGGCTCAAAGGTCAAATCTCAGATCTAAATATGCTCACTCCTATGCTAACAAGTTTTTCCAAACTAGAAATGCCCCCATCTTCTCTCCTTTTTTCGGTTAATTGAATATAATAACAGCCGCCGAATGAATTGTTCCGAATTAGTTGTTGATGAATCCGAATTATGTAATAAATCATTGGATGGTCATTCTGTTTATACAGTGGCATTTGATCGTGCCGTTAATGTTGTGACGGTGTGTTGCAACCTAAACTACTTTTGATGGAACGCGAAATCAAACATACACACTGCTTACAACTACTTGTGACCGCAAGAGTACCACTAGGGAGTGCCTGTGCGATGTTGCGGGATTTTCTCTCTTGTTACACCGCGTTTTTAAACAATAATTCGTATTGTCAGATGACATCGCTTGATCATATACATCAAACCTCACCGAGAACACCAACACATTCCTCTTCCGGCCCTTTTCAGGTAACAAATTGACTTTCGTCCTCGAGCGAGTGTGAATAATTTTAGCAGGTGAGTCAAGAAAGTAGAATAAACTACCTTCGGTTTTTTTTAATTAAGCTCGCGGTATCATGTCACCCTCTTGAGCAAATATAAATTGCGGACAGGAGGACAAGCTTTTGCTGTGGTAGTGACGTAATTGTTTAGTAGTGAAGTGTGAATATGGACAATATTAGCAACACCTTCGAAGATGCAAAGTGGGAACTTATCCCCCCCTCCTTCATGTGCATGAAGTCAAAAGGGCAACCCTTTTCGTTCGTCAACTCCTTTTTTAAATCCCACGTTCTTTAGAAGAATCTGTGAAATTTTCTTTCCACAAAAGAACGTTTTCGGCACAAAGTTTCGGATTAATTAAAGATTAGACAACATATGCTGTTGGCACTAAGACTCCAATGTGCTCTACGTTAATGGATCCGCATTAACATAAGTCGGCAAATAGGCAAAGTTTTTCCTTCTTTTATTCAAAGAAAGGGATGGAAGTATGGAACTGGAATATGATTACTAGGCATCCATTAGCACATTCTAACTCCAGAATTGGCAGGCACCTATAAAAGCTACTGGATGGAAACTCTTGGGTAGAGACTTGTATCTAGGAAAATTACATTAAGGATACTGGCAATGTCCAAAAGCATAATGGCATAATGATGGCTAGGTTTTCGTCGCTTAAGTATAGCCATATCTTCAGCTTCAAGAGAGACTTTAGAAAAGAGCAAGACGTAGCATTCTCTTAGTTAGCCGGGGAGGCATATCGACAATATACCCCAAACTCAAAACAGACGTATGACCAAGCCAAGCAGTGCTTTACTTATTGCTTCAGAAAATGCATTGTAAAACTAAGGTCCCATTGGCTGATAGCCAAGAAACGATTCGCACAGTCGAATCAAAGGCTTTTATGGCTCTTCGAGAGTGCACGTGACATGCACAACGATATTGACAATTTAATCCAATGCAAGTGGGAGGCATTTTACAGAATTTCCACAGATTTATTGTGTATCCACAGAACTTCTCCATGCATTTCTTCTTTATAGGAAGAAAAGCTGTTTTTGTCCTATTAATGACATGCATGATTTTGACAGGACGCTTTGAATCTATTCCCTTTTGATTCTCGTCACGTTGATGCACATTTTGGTGAGCCAAGATCATGAACGGACGGACCGCGCAAAAGCCTTTACGAGAATATATCTAATCATCCCCCATTTCCCTCACCTACTCGCCCCCACCACTCTGTCGCATAAGAAAGCGACGTAAACGGCGGGTGTTTTTCTTTTGATTCAAGAAATGACACCGGTTTGTTCTCGAAAAGCTTGTGAGCTGACGAAGCTAAACAACTTTAAACCACCAAAAAGAAACTCCGTGGACAAGACAGTAGAATAAAGGCAATCAACTTTGAGAAGGGCCTCTTCTAATTGAAATGGTTAATAGATAATTTAGCATGACAAATCCACACCTGGCATGCCTGCGCTCCATTGCAAGTTCTTTGCATCTGTTCCTCATCCACTTCACCAGTTCTTCCCAGTTGTATTTGTGGTTTAACTCTTGGAATTTGGTGAAGCAGGTATATCTAACAGGTGTCACAACTCCGAGAGAGCATAAATATGCACAAAAAGATGAAACAAATAACAAATGTTCTGTGATTCTCTCAAAGATACTGATGAATGTTCACGAAAGAATCAATATGTATTGATGATTTATTGAATGCTTGCCAGCAAAAAAATAAAAATATAACAAGATTCGCATTTCTAACAGTGACTGCCTCATGAATACCATGAAAAAGAAAAAACTGACCAAAATGTTGCCAAGCAACAGCCACAAAAAACCGGATCAATTAGAAACTGACATAACAGAGAGCTCCCAATTCTTACTCTGCAGCGTATATGGAAAAGCTTTATTCCACTAGGAAATCGAAAGATGAATCAGTGATGGTCCTCATCATTGCCATGCCCATCCGGTGGTCCTCCAGGGCCCACAACATCCAACTGTAAATCAAAATGGTACTATAAGAAAGTTCTGTGATTGAAATACCTGTTTAATTACACAAGTCCAGTTTGAAGAAGTCCCTACTAAGAATAAGAATAGGACACAATAAGAAAATTGAAGAGCTCCCACTTGACACTCAAATGTACATATGAACCGCAACGCTGATCCAATGATATACATATACTTGAACAAGGTTGAGACCAAAAAAAAAAATACTTGAACAAGTTATAGAGTTGAAAAATCAAATTCATTGATGTCTTTGCCAATTCTCCATTGATTTCGCTAAGGAAGAATATAATTACGCAAACCTCCTCCTGAAGTTACTTCAAATCACACTATAAAAAAATCTATTTCATCCGCATAAAGTTTTGCCAACTAGGGCACATCTCACACAACCAAGCTGAGTAACCCATACTGTACAAAGGAAAACAAACAAGTACCAAAAGAAAAAATGAAGAACGTGATCAATCCATTTCCAGGATAGAAGTAGCTGACATTGAAAATGAATTTGTCGTCCATTCAACAATCTAAAAGAAGTCACCTAGAAAAAAAAGTGTTATTACGCAAGGAGTCCTTTCAGAACATATAGGACATAAATACAATTGCAATGATAGTTCCTTGAGTACTCATGCTACCCGTATGCACACATCATTTCAGTATAGTAGTATCAGGATTTCAAATTACGCACTCAGTCTTCTCCGGTCATAATAAGGTAAAGGAAAATACTGAAATCTGCTCCCCCACTTACAACAAAATACTGTGAACACACTGGGCATTCGTGCGGCTTGCCTTTCTCCAACCAAAACCACACAACGTCATGCTCATCCTCTGCAAGCGAAAATGAAAAGTATATTAGAATACATCTGACAGAAGCTTCAGTAAAAAGTGCCCGTGCATGAGTGCAAGTGTCTCATGGCTGAATGGGAGTGAATGGAAAAGGGTAACGAAAGCAAAAGGACTTGCCATCTTCACCACCAGGGCATCCAACTATTCTCTTGTCATAATAGGACTTAATGACAGCAGGAGCTTCCTGCATACATACAAATGATAAACTTAATTATCACAAAATAAAGTAAGCGATGCATTTAGAAAGTTCGCGGTGCTTTGCCTATCAAACAATACAAAAAACACATTCAACACCCCTAAACAGCAAAGACGAAAGGATTGGACAAAGATTCACAATATCTCTGATAAACAACTTCAAACATTTCAATTTTCACAAACCATGTCATATTGTGTAAGCCAAAGACACTCAGAGGCAAACTAACTCACTCTAGATATCTGTAGTAATTAAGGAACCATTTTCTCCAGAAAATCAAGGTTCCTACATGAACTTGATAATCATTGGTGAACAGCATTGCTTATCAACCTTTTACTCACAAATGAACAATCAGCCACCAAGCGACATGCCTCTACAACATTGTAAACTCCCAGTACTGAGTTTCTTTTTCTGTTTACTAACCTATATCATAATAATGCATGTTAAGCCTCCAAATTACACTGTCACGATGTATAATTGACCAAAAATCCTATATTGGTCTGACTTGAATTATTGGTCAATGTAGCTTTACTGATCCTATTGAGTTAATGATTTCATTTTGGGAGAAGCACTTAGCAAATAGAAAGAAAACAGTCAATTGTATATATCACTTTATTTCAGTGGATCGACAAAATTGAATGTAAAGTGGCAGCATGAGTTTGCAGCAAGCGCTCGTTCAGAAACAAAAAAGAGAAAACATCGGCACCATTTTGAACATATACCAATTAACTAATCCAACATAGTAAGCAAAACCATAAAACTCTGCCATTCAAACATTTAGAAGTGCCTATAAGGCTATAACTGCAGTAGGAAATAAAGTAACCAGTGTGCTGAGTTTTCTGATTCTAATGTCTGAACAATATGGAAAGCACCTCATCAGCACAAACATCCATATGTAAACATCAAATGCGAGATGTCACTGTATTGCATCAAACGAACAATTATTAGGTAATAAGTAAACTACAACTATCGGAAGCAGCATGAGACCAATAATGCACTCCAAGGGTAAACAGATCAGTCTATAGACACTAACTATCACAACTTGCAATAAGAAGACATGTCGAAGAGATAAAATGCACATCTCGGATTCACAATCAACTCTATGAGACTAACCTTCATGCCAAAAGGACCAACGGGATAGTTTATATCAAGAAGTTTCCTTCCCTGCACAAAGTAATAGCTTTAGGGAAACAACCATCAATGCTTTACCAAAACCATTCAGCTACGGAAAGATAAGAGAGAAAGACCACCTCAAGCTCAGCCGCAATCTCCTCTCGCTCATGTCCAGTAGCAATCGGCATCACATCTTCAACCTTCTTCTTCACAGCACTTTGCGCTGAACAACCAAATGAATCCACATAAATTTCACACGCCTTCGCCTAACAAAGAGGTCAACACCTCTTCCCTCGCTTTTTTTTTTTTTTCTTTTTTCCCTTTTGCGCTCACGCTACATCTACATTGTCAAAACCACTACCAGCAACGATATCTATAGAAACAAACTAATCTAAACGCGCATGCGAATTGTTCTCGCCATCCTTTCCTACTCGATCATCAGCATCCACCGGGGCACACGTAAAAAGAAGAAGCCAACAAAGCCACCTCCTCAAACCGGTATCGAAGCCAAAAAAAATCCACATCGATATCGACAATGCGACCAGCCTACGCGTGATCATCAGCAACGATTGCAGCACGGAGGATCAGAAAACCTACCGGAACCGACGCCGAAGCGGCGAACGAGAACGGAAGCGGAAGAAGCGGGAGCAACGAGCGATCGGGAGGCGGCGGACAGGGCGGATCGGCCGGAAGTGGACGCGGCGGCGGCGGCGGCGGCGGCCAGGGCCGGGAAGTGTGAAGAGACGAGTCTCCTCCACATGCTTGCGGATTCGTCGCAGCTTGACGCGGGAGTTCGGCTGATGGATCTGAGGAGGCGAAGCAGTCGGAGAGTTCGCGCGGAGTGGGAAGAAGGGCGGCCTGAAATGAGGAAAGCTCTGCGCGCTGCGTTTCTTGGACCTGACTTCGCGGCTTTCCACGTCAGCACGGCCCACCTGGATCCGCCGCCCAACCGGACCGGACTCTTTCCCCGGGAGTGTTTTCAGAACCGGACTAGATAGACGGTTCGACCGGTTCGACCGAGTGATCGATCGGCTTGTTTGATAGCCTATTTGGCTAGTCCCACGGTTATGTCATGAACCAACGCTAGAAATCTAGATCGCACGGCAACTTGGGCTTTCCTTTGGCTATTATACAACAATTATAATCTCGGAAAACGCACCGATCATGAATGTGAATTACCACTTCCATTCTCTGATTCTAAGAGATCAGCCCTAGGCCAACTTGAAGCTTTATCTTGATGGTTGTCCAATGCATTTCACCTAGTTAAAAATGAACCTACCTCTGCTGAGAGTCATGGCATGGAACTACTTCTGCTCATTCACAATATTTACAACTAGCTTATCGAGTCGAAGAGCACAACAGTCATCAACCAAGTCAGATGCTATGCTAGTTACAATCAAAAGTAGTCCAGTTGATCTGTGAGACCATAACTTCCCGCGCCCTTCGGCATAAATTTAGAAGCATGACGACACTATCCACGATAGATTTGTCAGCCTTGCCGGTAGGAAGGATTACGTTGATTTTCGAAATCAGCCACTGCGTTTTCGCCTTTGCTTTGTATTTCTCGGCTCCTTTTCTTGATCTTCTTCCAGCTTTCTCCTCAGGCTCTTCAGATCTTCATCGCTCACCATGCCATTCAGTCTCTGGTTTACAGCATATGCTTCGGCCAGCTTCCGTCTGCACTCTTTGCTGGCTGAATCGTGAGAGACCACTGATAACAGAAGAAGTGAGAGCAGAAATTACAGAGGGCCTATGGCGTTCGATTGATATTATTTCGACAACTATTGATTTTGAGCCAATCAGGTATATGATACTCAATCAAGCACGGTAATAAGAAGATAATTGCAGAATGCAATTTTTTAGCACGTCTCTTTTAATTGTGATGGAACTTGTATTGTGAAGCAAAAGATTTCTTCTATCCAAGTATTATTTCTTTCTAAACTTAGGACCTCATATTCACAAGAATTAGATCCAACTATCCCCCCCACCCAACTCTCCGATTATGTAAAGATAAAAAAATTGTCGTATGCGAAGCCCCCCACCTGGCTCAACCTTCTAAATTGTAAAAGCTAGCGTTTATGCATGAGTTGGTTGCTGAATCAACACCAACTGGATAAGCACACTCTCGATCTTTGGTCAAGACTAGAGGACAGATGCACATCCCAATTGTTTCTATGTAAATCATGTTCTATACAGTTAAGCATCGCCCTCTGACTGAATGACCTATGAATGATTTCAAATATGTTGCATGCACACCATCGCATACTTTAGGAAACTGCCAAAAATCACCATTAGAGTAAAACAGAGTTCAGATAACAAACCTGGATTTGGATAATCTCTTCCAATTATGCACTTTGCTTTAGTTTGAATGCTCAAGGGAGCTTTCCATGGTTCATAAATATACTCCTTTGGCATATCTGATTATTTTTCATCCAGTCATAAGTTTGAAATGAGAAGCTAGCCCTCAACCAAGAAAAAGTGACAGAGATGGTCCTAATGTATACACGTACCCTTCAATACAGGTAAAAAATGGCGTATGTAGCTGCCATTGGGGTCGTATTTTTTCCCAAAGGTTATTGGAGAATAGATGCGATTATACTGCACAGGACAACAATGAGTAGAACTTCAGAAACTCAAGTAAATGTTTGTCTAGTTGAAAAGAATCATTTTGAAACAGCACATCCATATTTCCACAAAGATGATGCTGCTCCAAGAATACAAGCCTCTGATAGGTGCAATGGTCCAGCCCAAATTAGACCGACTTACCTTAATACTAACTATAGACTGCCAGACATACAATTCATTTAGGAAATTTAAGTTGACAAGTACGAATTATAAATTACTTGTAGCAGATCACTAACATAGAATAAGAAAGCATGTATTGCATCCCAGAAAAAACAGCATGGATAAAGCAGTTGACAAGCATGTGATGATGCTGAGAATCTTATCCAAAGAATACAGGATACAGAGGTGAAAGCAAGTCATTTCCCTTGTCCACAAGTGAATATCAGAACTAAGAACTAAACTGTCTCGTGATTGCAATGGAAGTAAGAGATGGTACGTACCTGGTAAAAAAATGAAGAACATGACAACCACAGCCAGTTTCCATTGTTGACTGCCCAGTCAGAGTCGATGAGTAGTCTCTCAAAAACATCTCGTCCTTTTTCCCAGTGAACAAACTGCATGCAGATGCTGTTTATTTAAAGAAAAGAAATTGGAAGCTCTCGTACACACAAATGCTGACAGAATAAATGTCACATACCAGATCTCCACGTGTTAAGAAACATGCTACGCAATGACGAGCTAGGTGGTGCATCCAACCCCACTTGCGGAGCTACATCAGCAACATAGATTAGATTATAAAGGGCAAGACGAGACCATTAGAAAAATGCATTTATGGTTTAATTATCGGATAACTACAGTGAAAAAAAAAGGTCGCCCAAACAATACAGCAACTTTTCCCCGTCTTACCTGCACCATGATAGCATCAATCCAAGGGTATCCTGTCCTAGCTTCCCTCCAAGCAGCAAGCAGTTGCTCGTCATCGCTCCAAGGTATCTGTACGGCCAAAGAGTATAGTAAGTACAAAATGGTACTTCTGGAGAATATCTCCACAGTACACTTCTAGTGTCTAGCAAGGATTCAAATTGCTCTAGGGATAGAAGAGGTTTCTATTGATATCAGTTTACCATAAGCCAAAAGTTCTAATCACCTGCTTACAAATCCTGTTACCCTTCATCTTATCAAAATTAGGAGTACCAAAAGCTGCTGTGTAGAAGAAATCTCGCCACAACAACTTCAAAATGAAAAAAGGAAATGATTAGAGATAATTATTGGAAGTTTTTACAATTGGAACAAGAACACATAAGATGACAGTCATTAGAAACTGACCTGGCCGAGAAGAGAAACAGGAGGTGAAGTATGCTTATTGACATCCTTATAAATGTCTTGTAGGCATTGGTAGAAGTATCTGGATGAGAGACATCCAAACTGCCCCAAATTTTAGAAACGAACCAATGGAATTTGATTTTATGGAAGCGAAACATATTGGGATGTAGCATAAATAAAACAAGATGTCAAAGGACTGTCTCGGTTTGAACTCACTTTCAAGTAGGGCGATAAAACTGTTGTGGCTGGCTTGTAAAAAGCAGAAGGATCGCCCTTTGGTTTCTCGAAATCTGCTACCCAAGCCTACATTACCACAAGGGGGAGAATGCTCAGGACAACAGAAAGAATTGACATTTTACAAGAAGTTCCCAACAGCATGAAGAGTGACACACCAATCGCATTAAACATGTAGCATTCACCTTTCATTCAGTGAATTTGGATGGAAAAATCACACAGACAGAGAATACTAGCGCCATCCTGATTAAGCAGACAAAAAGACAGCATGATACTTCCCACAGACAATTGGCATTACCTAATAAAATTTAGATTCATAGGTTTATATCTTGGCTTACAGCATCTCGTCAACCAGAGATGCTGGATTGTTTTGCTCTTACATCAGTTGCAAGAGCACTATCAGGCTAACAATCAAACTCCGTATACAATATCAGCAGCAAAAATTGAAGGCGGAGTTATGTCCCCCATTTGGTGAGCAGCCAAAGACATATAAACTTGCAAACGAAAGACCATTGGCTAACAATAAACATACTATTCAGCAAAGCACCAAAGTACCGAGGATTATTGGTTAAAGACATTTGACCAATAGCCTGAGGGTCGAATTGTTCCAAACTAGTTAGGAACATAATTAACTATACCGGAACCACAAAAGCACCATGATATCGTACGACGTATGGTGACATCAATTATAGCTACTTGAGCAGAAATTGTACTTTGCAAATAGATTAACAGATATAAAACAACTGAAAGCACATTGGAATGGGCTCAGTTTTTCGATTAGCTTCTGTAAAGTACCCTACCTTGTTACTGAGTGCCTCTTTCATTCTTGTCAATGCTGCAGTTTCTCCACCTCGGAAAGGGGCCACGTCATCCTGCAATAAGCTTGCTTCTTGAATATTGACGACAGTCTTAAGACAATCGAAAATTGCAGGCCTCAGCAGCTCTAACCTGCTCAGTCTCATCGTAACCAAGTTCAATCAGTGTAGGAACTTCAAAAACCTCGCATCTTCCAACATCCCCAACCGGAGGAACAGAAGAAAGCATGGTCGAAAGCGGCGACCCCTCCCATGAGGGTTTTCCAGCAAGCTTCAGAAATGATTGGTAACTCAAAGGTGGTTTTCCTCCATTCTGATAAGTCATTCCCACAAGCAATAAAAATTAAACCAGGACAAGACCGCCACATATTAGCAGAGAGTACCATGACAAAGCGTGGGTAGACAAGCTCAAAACATCAACTGCTCACTAGACAACTAAAACAAGGACTTACTCTCGCTATAACGTCTGCGGGATCAAACAGCGTATGGCTCACGGGCGAGAATGTCTCGATGCCGGCAGCAGATGCAAAGTTCTGTCCTCGCAGACAAGACAATCTCTCATTAGATAAAACAAGCATAGAAAAACAGCTCAATTTCACCATTCACTAAAAAAATGGCAGCGAATCTCCCCCCGCCATCGCTTGTCCGGAGCTCAGACGGTAACTGCTCCGTCACTTCAGAACCGCAACGAACTACCACGAAGGCATCAGACAGAGTTTCTCACCTTAACTTTCTTATCCAGAGCTTGGTAATAAGGTTCAGTGTCGTGCTCGAAGCAAAGCCTGTCGACATTCCACTGCAACAGCCAGATTCCATCTCATGATCAAATAATTTAACGACAAGTCGGAAGCATGCATGAGCTTCGCATACAACATTCCATCAACCGAGCACTGAATCCACAAGGCACGCATGCGCATGCACGTAACTTCAAATCCACATTTCCATCGCTACGCAGAGCACACAGCATTCCATCACCTCATCCAAGCAACGGATCAGCACCTCGCCGGGCTCCCCCTTCAGCACCAGCAGCCGCGAGCCGAGCCTCCTGAGGCCGGCGTCCAGATCGGCCAGGCACTCGAGCAAGAACCGGATCCGGTTCACCCCCGCCCGGGGCGAGCCGGGGGAGAAGGCGGCCCGGTCCGGCTCCATGTAGCGCGGGTCGATCACGAAGACCGGGTAGAGGGGACCCCGCGCCCGCGAGGCGGCGTGCTGCAGCGCGGGGTTGTCGTGGATCCTGAGGCCTTTCCTGAACCACATCAGCGAAGACGACGACGCCGACGACGACGCGGGCGACGCCATTTGTGCCGGTGTCGAGCTCGGAGGTGAGCGCGAGCCGCGTGGGAGTTTTGAAGTTAAAAATGGCTCTGCTGCGATTCGCGCCTTGCACTCGAACGTGGCGACGCTAACGTGCGCCCGAGTCGTGTCGAATGTGACGACCACATGGCCTGGCTACGTGCGTACGCGGGCGGCAGTGGACCAGGTCGAGGAGGCTAAAGTGCGTTGTGCGCTTTCGGCGCATGTTAGAGGCACCACGTGGTGAAGGCGGTTCGCGGGATTGGTCCGCAAGGCGCCACGTTGACGGGTTAGAATTGCAGTATTACGAAACACACACGTGTGAATCTAATTTAATAGATTTATTTTTATTTTGGAATATATTCGCGACTAGACCCATCAATTCTTAACACATATATAATGAGCTAACTTGATATATTGATTACTAATGCAAATAGGTTATAAATTGATTTAAACATGATATTGATGTTAAATAGATTTATTGGGTCAGAACGGATTACACAAATCTGTTTGGATCAGCCCATTTTCGATCTTGCCTGAATTCGACTCAGTTCACCTGTTTGAGAGGTGTATCATGGACTTATCAAATCTATCATAAAAAGAAGTCAGCAGCTGAAATTCGAGAAGAATTATAGATTCAGATTAATGACCTGAAATTCGAGAAGAATCATAGATTCAAGTCATGACCTTTCTCCAAGAATATTTCTTCGTATACAGAGACGCGAAATAAGACTTTTAAGGTATACCCGTGTAGTAAATGCGAAATTGGATCCAGTCGCCCAAATTTTAAGCCGAGAGAACCCATGCGTGCCCGCTACTTCTTCGAGCGACGCACGCTGAGCAACTTCACATCGTCGACGACCGGCCCGCACAGCGACCCCGAGTGATCGCTCGTCGTGGCGTAGTAGGAGCTGAGGAACATCACCCGCGTCCGCGCCGCCGCCGCCACGAACCGCAGCTCGGCCCGCACGGAGCCGCCCTTCCCCGCCGACTGGTAAGGGACCCGGACGCTGTCCCTCCCCGCGTACGCCTCCACCTGCATCGGCCCCTCGCACGAGTCCCTGCCGTCGCCCACGGCGAACGTGAGGACGTAGGCCCTGCCCGGGACGGTGAGGACGGCTTGGGACACGGCGCTCTCCCTCCCGGCGACGAGCTCCACCGCCCGCCTGCCCTCCGGCACGGCGAAGTGGTCGGAGTCGACGTACTTCACGGCCTTGAGGGACTCGACGATCCAGCCGGGGATGGGGCTGTGGTCGTCCTCGACGTGGGGCGGGATCAGGACTCCACAGGACGAGTTCGGGAAGATGAAGGGGCCTTCTTCGAAGTTCCCGTTCTTTACCAAGTTATCTGTCGGAAAGTAGCAGAACGAATCATATGATGAGGACTCTTTATCTGCTATAGAAATTTAGAGCGAGAGAGAGAGAAAGAGAGAGACTACATGGGGTGCGCTTAGGGAGATTCAAGGTCTTCAAAGCCACCAAGTCGATCAAGGGGCCACAAGCTGGATCCTCTCCGATCCCGGGGTTATGGAACGAGATGTCCACCACGGCGCCGTCGGCCTGAAAGCTCCATGCGTACGAGTCCCACCCGTTGCTGCTGTACATGGTCTGCACCGGCAGTATCCCCCAGTCGTCGGCCTTCGAGTTCGGCGACACCGACACGTTCAGCTTCTCGTCCTGCGCGCACGTGCGAGACATGGCGAACGTGACTGCGTAATACGAGCCCTTGATCAGGTTCACCTTTTGCTTGATCGCTGCCTCATTCCCGAGCCGAACCGCGAAGTCGCCCTCGGGCACGACCAACAGCATGTCCCCCTGCTTTTGGCCCGACTTTATGTACTCCACGTAGCCCGAGATCTCCCAGTTGGGTATGGCCGTTCCATCCGTCACCACCGTGCCTTTCGTCTGCCATGGCTTCGGCCCGTACTCGAAGTTGCCATTGGGCAACAACCCTGTGATCAGATGAAACAAGCACGACAACATTATTCACTGGGCTTAAGGTACATTTTTCCACTTTACCGAACATGACACAGTACGAAAACATGATGTTTTTCCTCCAGCTATAGAGGAACAATGGCCATTTGAGAGCTTACCATCGATCAAGGACTCGCCTTTGTAGCAGATGGAGCTCATTAGCAGCACCACCACCACCAACATTGCCGATCGAGAGCTCGCCATCGATCGTTGCGACTTGTGGGGATAACTAATGCTACAGCTGCTTCCATGATCTTGGGCTTTTATATGATTTTTTGGCAGTGGAGGACCCAATCCCGACATTAACCCACTAGTTTCGAGAATGGGTATCATATACAAATGTATTATGGTGTCCCTTGCATGGCAGTGTCTTCTCAAGAGGGTACTGGCCAGGCCAGATGATCCAATCTGCATATTATTCTTTTGTGATATTGTTTCTAGGATTCATTAATCTATCCTCTGCCCTTCTTTTCCAGGTCAAGATGGTTATGATGTATAGTTTCTTCATGGGTGTCTTAACAGCACCACATGCACATTTTAAAAGCAGAAATTCCTCGGACAGATAAAACTATGTATATCTGCCTGAGTGCGATTGAAGCATGGTAATGCACATTTTGCACGTAATTAAGGGGCAGATCAATCAACAGCGTTGAATTTTTCGAGAGATTGTTTCCGGGGGAGGTCAAAAACATGCTATTGATTGCCACATGCACATTGCAACGCATATTCAAGCATTAGTTCTTAGATTGCACTCTGTCATGTGGATGAGAACTGCACAAACTTCAGTGAATCAAGTCACCTTGAGATCCCTTTTGTCCTTTTAATCATTTTCATTTTGGTTGTTCTCTGGCACCCATGTGGTTAGCGAGGTTCTCACCCTGAGATTGTGTTATGCGGTCAACACATGCATTAGAGGGTTACCTGCATTCCATTATTCCACGAAGAAAGCATAGAGATACATTATTCAGTGATCATTTTTTTGTAAAGTTGCCAATCAATGGGCAAGAAAATGGTAAAAATTTGGTTATCTTTTTCTCGGGAGTTTGGCGATATGAAATCGCCAATTCAGAAACAGAACCAAACCTAGTTGAGCTCTTTCTCCTTCTCGGCTTGGTCGGCTATGTTAACAATTAACACAGTCAATGCGATGACCTGCACTGACTAGAAAAAGGGCCGTTGAAAAACATCTGAATGATGCAAAATACAACAGCATGGTTAGAGCAGGATGCTGTAACATGGGTGCATGTGTTTGGTCTAACAAGTCGCCCTCAGACAAATAGTTTCCTAAGCCCGGAGAAACTCCACCAAGCATACCTGCCTTTAGTGTTGTGCGGGAACCAGATATGGGGCATATCATAGCCAACTCCACCAGGTGCACCTCTGGCTCAATCACAAAGTGTGAACATGTTTTAGGGTACTTCTAGTCACATCAAAACGACGCATTCGATCACGGTTCAGTCTAGATTGAGCTAGGTAATGTCTGCGTGGAACTTAGATAGTGTCTAAACAGAGTTCGCGAACTATGACGAGTTTCCCGACTAGGGTACTCATGCCGGTGCATTCGCGAGAGCATGCAATTGAAATTATTACTCCTTGATCACAAATTCTCCCCAAGCGTTACTGCACCGTGACGGTTGCGGAGTCTCGTGACACGCGAAGACCGCAAGTTCCATATCAGGAAACGAGAGAGATTTGGTGTGCTACTTACCTATAGAACTATCACTCTCCTTTTTCGAACGTCAATGACATGGCCTGTGCAGCTTAAAGCTGAGTCAATAATAGCGTCTGTACAGTTTGTTTTTCATGTTCAGTAGATGACTGGGCAGCCCTCAAGTCGAATGTTGGACTTCAACTCAGATAGAAAAGAGTTTTCTTAAGGATCACAGGCCTAGGAGCTTCAATATAACAAGTCCCAGCCCATAAACAATGATAGAGAAGATTTTCATTAGCACTATGATTCGTTTACTTACTACACATGTAGACAGATGGAGAAATTTCATTGAGACCACACGTATACAATTTCATTCGTTTAGAAAATGAAACAATCAATTATCATGTTTCAAATTAATGATAGTTTCCTAGTATGCTATGAACTGTTCAGGACTTCTAGTCCATCTTCATAATCAACTTTGCTTGCCAGGCTATGGAAGGGCAAATACTGTAGTAAGGTCTGTCTCTCCTCCCTCCAGAACAGTCATTGCCCTCCACTCCCTCCTTAGCAGAATGTTTCTGATAGGAACAGTCTAAAGTCAATCCGCGACAACATTCTTTACCTCTCTACCTTCTTAATGTGAGCTAGTTATCTCTTTTGTCATGCAATCTCACTCCAGGGAGATAGTGTCCTCTGGATGCACCTGCAAAGCATAAACAAATTAGGAGACTTCTTAAACTCCGCCCCTTCATTTGACGTGCAGATGAGTCCTGATTTATCGGCCGTAACTAGTAGAGGTTAAAGGTACAAGAACATGAATGTTTTCTTACTTGATTACGTCCATCTTCGGTGAAGCTCACAGTCCTAACCTTCATCTCTCCTCTGCTGGTTGTCAGCCTGTCGAAAATCTCAGCATCCGATTTTTCGTCTTCATCTTCCATGCTCCCAAAATGTGGTATTTCCCTCTCCTAACATAATACCTAGTGAGATCTTGTATAGACAGGGAGCTAATTTATATTAACTAATGACAACAACTTAGCATACTTGGCGAGAGAGGCTGAGAGAAAATCGTGGGGTACGAGTGACTTCTTCATACTCCGCCGCATCTAGTTCTCGCAGATGATGCGGATTGAACAACTTGGGTAATACATGTTGCCTTATGCTTATGAGAAGAAAGAATGGCAAGGGGAATAGAATTCCGGCAATCGGGATTTTTGTCGCTCCGAAACACAGTAGCAAATACACAAACTGAAATATGGTGAATGTGGCTATATATTTGAAAGGCACGGACTCCACATAAGAAGCATGAACCCCTTCCAGAACCCTACCAACGGACATAATCATCGTAACAAAAATCAGCAGAATTTCATGCCAACGGATATTCAAGACATTTCATCAACTTTTCTATATTTATGTACCTGTAGCGGCGGCTGGGAGTGATGAAGAGAAATAGCATTCTTTCCCAAAATTGATTTCCAGGAAGACTATCGATGGCCATGTACGCGAAATAACCCCAAAGCACTGATGTGGGTATGAGCTTAATCATCGGCATGGCACACACCGAGGCTGCCACTAGGACCGACTGTAGTAAATTGCTAAGTCTTTGCTCATTCACCCGGACAGGCAAGTAGGCATCAATTTGCTTCTCAGGATCAAATGAAGCCTTTTCTTCATCTCCTTTGCTGCTTTGAACGACTGCTTCCTTCAAGTCTTCTAGCTCCTTGACCACCGAAGAAGTCTATCATACACAAAACAATTCGAAGGGCCTAAGTTAGATTGTAAATTTCTGTACTGCGGAGTATTCTCCTGTGTGACAGCTTAATTTACTGATGATTATCGGGTGTCAGCCATGAGATTATGTTCATGTTAACCATAAAACTTACTACTGGACTGTTTTCCATTTCAATGAAAGCATCTTGCATCTTCCCATATATTTCGGAATTGCTAGCTTTCCGCCTGATGCTCTCCCTTGCACTCTTGATCATCTTCCTCCTAATATGCTGCGAGTGAAAATTTTGGGTGCAATCTACATGAGCTGACACCAATTCCTGAAAGTAATTTTGAGATTTGAACTGAAAAACACTCCACCAACCTGTCTTTTGAGGACAGCTAGGCTTTTAGTGTGCATAGGGGACTGAGGTAGGACTCCGTTGGATGGAGGCAACCCAATCAATCCACAAAGCAAAGTCTGGAAGAACCAAACATGATAGGAGCAATTAACTTTTCAGTGTAACATACTCGAGAATGTGCTTTAAGATATGACACATGGATAATGCATATGTACCAGGAAACCTAGAAGAAAGATGTCATAATGGTAGGCAGATGGATTCTTCAGGTTGAACTCCTTCTGTTGCGCTAATTGCGAAGCTACGCTATGGTCGAAGAAGTACAGACCGGCAATCATCACTGCAGGGATGAGGGCGGCGAACACGTATGCTGGTGAGACCCTTCCCATGTCCTGAATAAAGTTCAGTGATGAGGCACATTGAAATTAGGGAAAGAAAATAAGAGTTGAGATCTTCTCACAGCATAATATTACATATAATCTGCTAATGACACATTCTAATGAATATTGGAATCAGAAGAGGGAATGGCTGGCTGTTAAATCCTCAGCTGAAGCAATCCATTGATTTTAAGTCCCAGTTTTCTCAACCATCCTCATTTCCCAAAAACACAAAAAAGGGCACAAATAATTTGTTACTAGAATACCTTGATGATGGTCCAGTGATGTAAGGATGCCGATTCCCATGGTAGTGGGCTAAAGAGCCTTCTCGGCACACCCGATGGGACTTTGTTTGGTAAACTGAAAGACAGTGCTGTCCAGAGTAAAACCATCAGAGGGACCCCATAATCAGCAGTGAAGCTTCTGAGCCATCCTATGGAACATAAGGAACTGTATCAGATATTAAAAAAAATAGTTAAGTTGCGCAGAAAGTTGCTAGACACATCAGTGGACGATGGGGTGGTTGTGATTGCAAACCTGTGCCATACAACCAAGATCTTGCCTTCCGGCTCTTTAAAGCAGTGTAAAGAAGGCCAAAGGTGAAAATAACCCCCAGAAGCCCATTTGTGTAGAGCCACTGGAACTGGTACTTCAGCAGGTTCTGATCTTCGGCTTTCGGGATTTTAAACTCGCTCACCGCTCCCTGCAATTCACGCATTTATCTTATATACGACAACGGAATTGCTGACAGCCATGAAAAGATCTCCAATTTAGTGATTCTCTCTTTGCAGAGCATCTTTGTTCTGAGCTATTACCTTGATAGCCTCTTGAATGAACAAGATAGTGATGAGCATGCCGAAAAGCTCTCCTGCAACCCTTGTGAACCTGTTGATTATGTTGGAAGCATTGAAAATTGCTAGGAGAAATAGCAACAGAGCAGTCCAAACGCATACCCTGCACATTACTTTCAGGAGCTTTGTCATTTGACAAGATTGAGAATCAATGCCAACAACAAAAGAAGGGGAAAAAATCCCGCAGGAATGTAACTCGGCTTGACAGCTATTAGCATACCATCCAGCCCAAGCTAAGTATAGCTCCGACCCCAGACCTTCCCTTCCTTTGGCAAACTTGTACAGATAAGTGTACATGATAACTGTTGGCTCGGCAACTCCAAGTATCAAAAGCGGTTGCCCGCCGAATATCGAGTGGATGATGCCACATATAGCAGTAGAAGCTAATGTTTCTACAGTGCTCAAGCTTCCCTCTGGTAAGGAAACAAAAAACCAAAGAGTCATAATTTACAAAGTCTGCGTCAAGTAGAGTTAAAAAAGCTGCCAAAAAGAAGCCTAAGTGCAGTTTCATTCTCGTCGGCATGGATGCAAAAGAATATTTTGATTTTAAGAAAAACAGGGGAAATGTTGAGAGTGAAGAAAGATATGAAATATGCGGAAATATTCACAAGATAAAACAGGGGAAATGCTGAAAATGAGAGCTATCAAGTGTCACCAACTAACCTGTGTCTCTACTCAATTGCTCACCAAAGGCAATGACAGGAAGAGCAGACGCAAAGAATATATATGCGGTTGGGGCCAATATGCTGCAGCCAATTAAGAATGAATCTAGTTTAGTACATATAGTTTTCTTTTTTTTTCTTTGTTAAGAAAAAAGTACCAGTAGCATGCAAGTCAGGTGATGAAAACTCGAGCACCTAATTCCAGAACGCAGGCCATTGATCCAGTCTTGCTTGTAACACGATGCTCTTCCTCTAAGATCTGCCCTTATGCCTTTAAACGGAGATTTAATGTTCTCCATCTCTGCTGAAACAAAGAGAATCGCCGAAAATGCAGAAAATCGATGATGATAAGGATGAACGGAGGATTAAAGAAAGCACAAGGAAAACATCAAAACCAATTAATCCAGATTCCAATGAGATGAACGGAGGGAAAGGAAAACAAAAAACGGGGACTAATTTTCTGAAAGAATTTTAACGAAAACCATTACAACCAACCATTACAACCAAACATCACAGCCACTGACACTTTTGAGACTCCAAGAAGATTTTATCTGTCACGCCATGCAGAAGCTCGCGCTCGAATTATCTGATAAAGAAAACGTCTCTCTAGGATATAAGTGACTGCATCCGGTTCCACTCGGCACAGAAAGAACAAATCGTCCATGCCATCTTCCATGTTTTCTGGACGCTATAGTCGACAAAAGACAGCCGGAGGAGAGACTGGCGCGCGAATTTTCTCCGCCTTTTATTCTCTGAGTTCGAACATAAACGACGGACTTTTTTGTTTTGCTCGCAGCTAGCTTCTTTCCGCGCATTAAAAATTAACACCCGTCTTCTCCAAAGAAGGTTCAGAATCAAGTTCTTGGCGACATAAGTTCGGAACAACAAACCGGCTTCGGGCCACGCAAAGACTGCATCGGAGACGCAACTAGAGGGCGGGGGAAACACAGACTGACGCAAAAAAGAAAGAGACGGGTCGTGCACAGAAGACCGCGGGCACCTTCTAGGATGCGGTGGCGGCGGCGGCGGTGCCGCCTGATAGGTCGGCCGGAGAAGACGAGAGCAACAGCCTCACAGCACCATGCAAAGGGGGGAGAGGAATAGGAGCCAACGGTTCGCTTCACTTCACGCCGGCTTATATAGAGAGAAACACGCCCCAAGCGAAGAAGGTCCAAGACGTGGCGGGCCCCCCCCCCACCCCCACCCTGACAGTTGGCATCTCCCTATTGGGTAACATCTCGACCTTTTAAATTCTCTTGCAATATATTTCGCGGAGCAATTGTTTTCCCGGAATAAGAAGGAAAATAAAAAAAGAAGACTTTACAGTAATAGCGAAATCGATCCACGTATTAAAAGAAAATACGCACACGGAATCTGATTCTGCTTCGATTTTATGGCGAGCGTAATTACCCGAGCCTACGCAGTAATTTCTTTTTTCTCGTTTCCCCGTGCATCCTATTGCTTATTCAGAAAAAAGCAAATCAACCGTTGCTCGATAAAGTAATTGCATATCGATGGTTGGAAATTATTTAGGGCCGTATAACCGAACTAGTTCTATTTGAAAATCGGACCAGACCGCCCTGAAAACCGATTCAATTCTAGGTTCCCGTCGGAACCGTTCCAGTAATTGGTTAACCGGTGAGAACTGGTCCGGTTTCGAGTGAAGAACCACTTGAGAACCGGATCGAATTTGGAACCGGTTTCATGAAGTCCAAAAACTCTGATTTGTTTTTTTGGCATTTTTTTCTCCATCTCTCTCTTTTTCTCCATTCTTTCCAACCTTGCTCAGATACTTCACGATTCTCTCTTTCTCTCGCTCACGAATCACCCTCCTCCTCTCCTGCTCGTAGCTCGCCCTCGCTCGTTCCACCCTTGCAACCTTTGCTTGTTCCTGACCCACCTTTGCTTGCTTACCCTCATTCGCTTTTCACTTCGAATTCGTTACTCATATTACTTTGCTGTAAAAGATGAAACAGAAAAAGGAACAAAAGAAAAATAAGTTATCGGATAGAATTCGAAATCGAATCGAAAAACATAGGGTAGTTTCCAGGGTCGGTATCAGGGCAAACAGGGTAGGTGTCGGGTTCCAAGAACAGGGAACCGGCTCTAACAAAGTAGATCTCAAGTTCCAGATATGAAACATACCCATCTCAAAATCGATCACCCATAATAAGTAATAACAACATGAAGCTAGATGTTCCATGATTCATCAATGCATTACTGCTTTTACTGCACCAGTGTCGATCAGCTCCTAAGTAATAAGGGGGAAAATGAGTCTTTTGTTAGAATAACGAAGCGATCGTGATGTTCATAATTAACTTTATCCTATAAATAAAATCTACATGAAAAAAAAGAAAGAGCTTACATAAATTTCTTGAATTTACTATGATTAAATTGTCGAGGAAAAAAAAAATTGGAGAGGATGATGTCAGCGCCGTTGTCATCACGATAATATATTTTAGATTTCTATTTTTTTTTTTTTTTGGTCAGACTATGCTTATGTGGAACCGGAAACTAGATCGGTTATTCCTAGTTCCAAACCGGACCGGTCTCTCCGAGAATCACCCAAAATCGACCGGTTTGGTTCAATTCTCGAGTCGGACCGGGACCGATGTACACCCCTAGGGAGGATTGGCTGGAATCCGACTCGCGTCAGTGCAATCTTTGGCACCAATTTCTTACCGTGTCCGTGAGGATTGTGTAGAATGTGCGCGGGGACTTCATGTTTGCACGACCGATCCAACGAATACGCTGCAACGATTGCGACTCTTCGGACGGACATGAGAATCCGCGGATTCCATCTTCCCACTTGGGTTTGGGCTTGCGTTAGAAAGCTGGACCAGCAGCTAGCTTGACCACGATTGCTGTCTGGACAGCATCAACTTGGACCTTCGGCGCTTGGCTTACCTGCTGCATCTTCGAAGCTGACTTGCTTCCAAATCGCCCACGTCGACTCATATCCTTTTTTTTATGAGAAGAAAGGGTCGGTAAATTAAGAGTTTCGTGTCGTTTTGATTTGAGATAATGACACGAACGGTCCCAGAACTTTAGCTCGATATGCAATGTAGTCCCCGAACTTTCAATATGTTCAATGTAGTCTTCTGAACTTTTGGTACATGTCCGATTTAATTCCTAAACTTTAAATTTGCTCAATGTAAACTTTAAAATTCTTGTGCATGTTCGAGTTAGTCCCCGGACCGGATGAAAACGTTCGATGCCAACCTTCCATTAATTCAAGCTTAGGGGGCAACATTGAACGTTTCCGTACGGTCCGGGGACTAGATCAAATATGTATCAAAAGTCCAGGGATCACATTGAACAAATTGAAAGTCCGGGGATCACATTGCACGTCGGGCCAGAGTTCGGGGGACCGGTGGCCTCATTTTCCCTTTTGGTTTTCGCAGCGTAGCCATGGGCTCAAAACGTTCCCCTTTCTCCAAGTCTCCAATTTGGGCCCGAAAAGTGGGCCTTGGTACGGCCCAATAGATCGGGACACGAGGAGGGGCCCATCCGGCCCATAGAGGCGAGACGAGGGGAAGCGTGATTCCTTAACGCGGACGAGGGCAATTTCGCAAAATATAAAAGCCATCGATCCTCGAGCTCCGTCTCCTCTTCCAGATCGCGAATTCTCTCCCTCTCTCTCTCTCTCTCTCTCTCTCTCTAGGCTCCGCCGCTCCGCCGCCGTCCGCCGCCGTCGACGGCGTCTCCTCTCTCGCCGGCGAACTAGCCAGCTAAAACCCTAGGGAGAACAGAACCGAGCGGTCCGCGAGGTGTTCGATTGGGGTCGAAGATGTCGGGGAAGGGCGCAAAAGGCTTGATAATGGGGAAGTCCGCCTCCAACAGCAAGGACAAGGACAAGAAGAAGCCCGTCTCTCGCTCCTCCCGCGCTGGCCTCCAGGTCTCTCTCTCTCTCTCTGTTTCTCCGTGTGTACGTACGTGTGTGTGTGTGTATGGATCGTGTATGTGTACGGGTAGGGGTGAGGATTGACTCGACGTAGTACGCTTGCAGCTCGTTACGTAGTTGGCTTCTCAGGTCGTAATCGAGAGCCCCGCCTTTTGACTTTGTTCTGCTGGCGGACTGCTGGCACCACGTGTTGAACTGTTTGTTGCCGAGAGTGGTTGAGCTTTCTCGGGCCGTGAGACTCTTTTTCTTGCAGGGATTTGAATATCTCTGGATGTGGGGACTTCCTGCTTGTTGAAATAGCCCGAATAGTAGGAGGCGATCCGTGGATTAGGTTTGCTCGCTCGCGCGATTACTGCTTAAACCCTAATCCTTTCCTGGACCCCGCCTATAGTTACCATGTCCCCGAAGCACCGTGGTATAGGGATTTCCGAGCAACTGTCTTCGGGTAAAATGTTATTTTGCGGCGACACGGCTGAAGAAATCGTATCGAAAGATGGTATAGTTCTCCGTTTTACCGGGAGTGTCGAACGTATAGCTATTTTCGACAGCCGCAAGCTTCGATTTCGTTTGGGAAACTTTGTGCTTGCGAATTGTTGCCGTGGCTGTTTTTCTGAGTCTTTTACACGGGGAAGCCTTCCCCTTGTTGTGCCTTTTTTCGAACATCCGCTAGCGTCCACTATGGAAAAGTATATCTAGTGCAGACGAAGCTAAGGATAGAATATGCGTACCTGAAAGGATGGAAACTTATGGCCGTTATCGGGAATTCCAGTTCCCTTTTGCATGTCTCAGATATGATTTACGACAATTGCTCTAGAAGATGGCCACCATGAGTCCATGACATGAATGTGGGTTGACTTGTTATCAGGTGCTATAGCACCTATTGTATGCATGATAGCTTACACCTTTATCGCCAGCGTCCTCAATTCTTTTAGTCATTGCCATGTACCTTGATTTACAGAATTGTGATGTTTCATTCTACAAATGAGAGGTTGAACAGTTGATTGGTGTTGAGTTGCACTTGCAACTTTAAAAGAAAAAGGTGTAGGTCGAGGATTCTGATCGTAGCTTTTCTGTTTCTATGTTCTCTTGCATGCCGTTGCATAAAACCACTGCGTAGATTGTTGATGTCGGTCATTAAGTATGGTTTTGGAGTGTTATGCATTTAAAGAACGGGCAGTAATTTATCTGAGATCACTTCTGCATAATTTTGGTGCTCTGTGATATTCGCATCTCCCCACCCTTGATTGTGCACGACTACTTGAAGCATAACCCTAACCATGAAGCCCTCCTCTTTTCTGTGCCCAGCAAATTGCTGCAAATGGCAATTTTCCGTAGCTTGTGTGCGATATGGTTTCGGCTTGCAAATAGTTCTTTCTAGGTGAGGGGAATGTGAAATCTACAGAACGAGTGGGGATATTTATTAACGAGTAGCCTTGTAATATATGCATTTTCTTTTTGTCCTTATATGTTGGTGAGCTGTTTGCTTGGTCACTACTACAGCTGTTTCTTAAGTACTTTAATAGATGTGTGAACTCTTTAAGATGCTTCCTGGTGGAATCTGGAGTAAATGGACTACAACAATCGGATGCTGTTGGCCAACAAAGTGGATAAATGATTGGATTGAGGAACTCACAACGAGTAGTTTTGACGCCTCGCAAGTTGTTAGTAGTCAACAATGGTCGTTTTGCTGGCTTTCTCTAAACAAACGATCGATAGTTTAAAGAACACTTTTGTGGAGAAAATCTATAGAGCAGGAGAGATACTCAGGTAGTTTTTAGAAATGGAAAAAATATATTCGGCATTGACCTGATGAGAGCTTTCTACATTCGCTGGAATAAGGGGCGAGTTTTTAGTTTATGGCACCATGAATGTTTGGAGTGGAAGGACAAGTGAAGTTATTCACTCTTTCCAGTAATGTATAAGGGCAGAGCAGCTGGCAATTTTTTTTTTATTTATGTGTATGCAGATGAAGTACATATAAAACTTACAGTTTTGGGTTGTCTCCGTATTTGACTCATTGAAGTATCTCTAGGAAATTTTATGGTTGCGATTGGGTAATCTGTTAAAATACTCTGGCTGTCCTGCATTAAGGCCTCGAGATATAGGAGTCTTGAGTCTGCGAGCGCCTCTTCTTACTTGTATCGCAGCTTTTCGTTTGCTGTAATGTTGACTGGTTAGCATGCTCTTATGTCAAACATTGTCCTTTTATTTCTACAAGCATGCATACAAAAGATGTATGACAAATTTTGGAAGGTTGGTTCCGTTTGTATTTAAGGCAAAGGAACTCTTCTGTTATGCTTGCTAGCTTTATATACTAGAGGGGGGTGGCCACATAATCGTGGTGTGAACATAAAATTTGAATGTGAGATGTTTGATATAGCCCCTTTTGTTCCATACAGTTCCCAGTCGGCAGGGTCCACCGTCAGCTGAAATCGAGGGTTGCTGCAAATGGAAGAGTTGGAGCGACAGCTGCTGTTTATACTGCCGCTATCCTTGAATATTTGACTGCAGAGGTGCTGGAGTTGGCAGGCAACGCGAGCAAAGATCTGAAAGTCAAGCGTATCACGCCGAGGCATCTGCAGCTGGCGATCCGGGGAGATGAAGAGCTGGACACCCTCATCAAGGGAACCATAGCCGGTGGAGGGGTCATCCCTCACATCCACAAGTCGCTCATTAACAAATCTTCAAAGGAGTAGGATCGCTTCTCGTCATCGCTTCGTTTGGGTTCCGTGTAATTTTTCGGTTAGAGGGAGATGAGGATATTGTTGGTCTGCTTTTTTTTTTTTATTTCTTTTCATGTGACAAATCGGAAGTACTTGTCTTAGTTAATCTTGTGCTAGCTTAGGTGGTGGTGTTTAACAGAAGTTGCGTTGCTTTTGGGATATCCCTTCACTTTCTCTCTGTTAGCTTTAACACCGATACAGCATCCTCCCCTTCTTAATGGGTTATGCCTTTGCTTCGTGGATAGCTAAATCAATCATACTCCGGAGTCCATGATATCTAACGGATTGCTAATTTATAGCCCTTGTTTCTGGCATTCTGAATCTGAACAATCGGGCCGTATGTTCGAAATGATTTTACAGGCATGCTTCTGTTTTCTTGAGTAACTTGAAAATGGCGTTTTCGTTTGCTTCCGTTTCCGCCTCGTTTCGGTATTTGGAAGGGAAAATGACGCGTAACAGATGATGCACGTTAATTTAATTTGGACTCCACTCGTTTTCCCAAAACACGAAAAGAAGTTCGAGTGATATGAGTAAATTGGAAACTAAATATTTTCCATAATATGACTGCGGTTCATGGTCGCGTCTCTCCACAGTATGCTCCACGCATCTTTGAATTCCGGCAAACTTTCGCGTCGGGATGAACTTCGCTACCGTGGACTTTCGGGGCTGCTCATGAGCTTAGCGCGCTTCAACAATGAGATCACGTTTCCATTTCTCATGGGATTGAATGATTCTTATGCTGCCACTAGAACCAAATTTCACTGATGAATGCTCCTCCCTACGGTGTCGACAGAGGAACGACGAAGATCCCTGCTCAAGGCTAATTCCAGTCGCCATCATGATCCACCGGCCGTGGCAGCCACACATGGGGGAATGAGCATGTCGCATTTTTTGCGGAAGAGATGGTCACGCCGAGCCTTGGTGCCGGCGAAATCTTGGGAACCACCAAGCTTCTCCAACGCGTAACCTAAAACGAAGGCATGATTTTTTAAGCCAACCACGGCGAGACCAACGGGACAAGAGACTTTTAACCTAAATGGCATATTTTTCTTGCTTTTCTTCTCGAAAGAACAATTTTTCGATAATAGACTCCGGTTCTACTGATCATACGACCTATGATTTGAATTCCTCAAAAAATTGCCCCGTCCTCATAAAGGTCCAGAAATTACATTGCCAAATGGTGATTTGTACATGTGTCCCGTTCTGGAGTTTCTCGAGTTTAATCCCGACTTGCGTTCCGATCATGCTCTTCATGTACCTTCTTTCATATTCAACCTAATAGCAAAGACACAAAAAACCCCTTCATTGTTTTGTCCAAATTTTTTCCTCACTCCTGCCTCTTTCCAGAACTACAGACGAAGGTGAACGGTTTGGATATAGAGCGAGATCGTTATTTACGATCCATAACATCCATCTCACCAATAATAAATTCTGCTGTTGATTCGTGGCACTCTGAGTTTGAAGTCATCCAACTTTGGGCCTTTCCTCATATATTTCTTTTTTACATTCTCGCATTTGAGTGCAAATGCAACATTTGTCCCTCGACTGGGAACATTGCATGATCAGTCCTACACCTATTATACGGAAATCAATTGAGTACTAAACCTTGTGATTGAACCAAGACGAATAAATTTCATGCGAATCCCGAGTCCAACTTCATCTGACCAGGTATCTCTCTTTTGTAGCTTTCACTCTACAGTGTTGTCGCGACAAACGACTCTTGCCAACAAGCATGTGCGTTACCAAAATCAAGTGAAAAAAAAATAGAGATAAAATTACAAATGAGGTGAGATTGCTCTACAGCCTAGAGAAAAAAGGATTAAAAGGCTTCAAGCTAACATCAAAAACACCCAACGGAGAGACCAACTTTCTTCTCTTCCTCTTGTTGGGGTGAGCAGGACCCAAAAAAGAAAGGGAAAAGGAAAAACGAAAGCCCCTACAGTAGATAACACCATCTACTCTTCTATTATAATGTGAAGCAACAACCTATTGATTCACTGATTCTAATGTTGATAAGAGCTTGGTTATAAAGGGTGATATAGCCGCCACTAATGCCTTGGGGCACTCCTCGTGCGGAAGGTGGCCACAGCCGGATATTGCCACCAGTCTCTGCATTGTAGATATGTCGTGAGAGACCATCTTAACAAGAGGATTTCATGACACTTAGAGAACACAAAAGAAAGAATTAGGGGAAGATTCACATGCAGATTTTTTTTTTCCTTTTGTTCGTCTTGCACATATCACAGCCTAAACGAAGAACAAACAAGCAGTTACGTTCCAACAGCCTCCTTCAGGCCGTGATTTAAGAATTTTTCCAATTCTAAAATGGACCCTCGGGGTCGTGGTGGCAACATATTGCATTTCCTGGTTAAGCATGTATAACTGCCTCAACCAAAGTTAAGAAGACATGTTTCTCTGAGTCCTGCACCATGTAAAGTTCAACGTGCGGTTATGAGAAGAAAAACTTACAGAATTTACAAGCTTAGATGCCATTGATTGGGTGGATTTGAGAGAAATGAGGGCATCTTCAGCCCCTGCAATAACCAACACAGGAGTGTCTTCGACTGCTTTGAGCAAGCCTGCCGCGTATTGGGGCGACAGAACAAATTCGTAAGAGAGTTTCCCGATCTCATGAAGTGCTTCATCCCATCCTTCTACAAATAGTGGCGCCTGATTGATACCAGACATGACGAGCAAATATAAGACGAAAGGAAGCACTCATGGGAAAGATCATCTCTTCTGAGAAACATAACTACGGCATAGAGTTGCTAACATTCAGAGAGAATTTCCAGATGTGTACTAGGTCGATCCCTCTGATCAGTCCCAACAGACTATGTAAGAGAGAGCTCATACAGGTGCACATACAGTACACGTAGGGACATCTCAATGTTCAACTTGCTTGATTTTTCCTAGAGAAGCTAGTTTTCTGCTAGTGTAAATACCCCTCTTCCAAGAAACTGCTTTGGTTTTCCATTGACAAGGGACAATGTGATGGGGATGGTTTCCAAGTCCACTATCCCACGTTATTTATGCACACACCAGCAAAATCTCTTGGTTCAATTACGACAGGTAGACATGTCGAATAGAACTTCTAGAGGTAAAATTTTCATGGAGCACTGGCATGGTCTTCAAAATATTGTGTAATGGAAACAAAAGTTTGCTATAAAAGTATATTCAAAAGTGAAACAAAAATACGGCAAATACATATCAAGTTCTTATTGAATACCAAACCCCAGCTAGTAATGATCTAAAGGAGCGAAATACCTTGTAGAGGCTGAAAAACTCTGGCGCTATCTTCCTTGCGTCATACCATGCACGACGACTCACCACTTGAGTAATCTCTGCTCGCAACAAAGGACGAACCAAGTGCTTTTTGCCCAAGGAAGTATGCAAAAGGATCCTTGCAAAACCAGGAACGACTTCTCTTGACAAGCCAACACTAACCAGTACAATGCCCTCAATTACAATCTGATGCACAGAAGGCCAACAGTTACAAGTCATGATGATGAGAAATTAACATAGATAATTCTGTAAAGAAAACTTATGACCAATCAATAGACATATATAAGATACACTGCGAAACATTCTTCAAGCTGTTAATTTTGCTAAACTAGCTTCCAAAACAGGACTGAAGAGCCAATCTCGTGTGTACGAAATAATCTCTACCCCATCATGTTATTTCCTCTTATAAATGCAATCATTATCAAATGTTGGCAATTGATGAGAACTCAGGAATCAAGACAACCAATAAATAAGCAATTCTTTGATAACAAGTTGACTGAGGCCATATAACCGTAGAATTATAACTCCATGCAATCTCTGTACCATATTACCAAAAAGGACTGGAATGGTAATTCTAGACAAGCGCAAGCACATACTCGAAACAATTTCCAAAGCAAGAAGACCAGACCAAGAGGCTTACTTACATTGAAAGAATTTGATGACGTCTGAACCTTTTGTGCAGCCCTTAAGGCAAGCTGGCCACCATCATCGTGACCGACGAGCACCACAGATGTAAACCCCATCTCCGCACAGAAAGAAAGGAGGAGATCTACCTGAAATTGACAGAATCAAAACATATCCTAAATCAAGAAAATGAAAATCAACCCATTGAGCCCAGAGTTAGTAAATGCAGTACCCTTGACAGGATTGCTAATGCTACATACCACTAAATGAAAGTAAAATACCTATTTAGAGCTATATACCTAGTACAGCTCAAAAGAATATACATATATGGCAACACGTATCCAAACGATCCTATTAATGGAACGATATATAACATTCGTCATTTTCAAGGAGAATGCAGAGACCATCATATGTCTCCTTTCATCCCTTTTCTTTAAGACTTCATAAAAGGACTTGTGACGTTTTCCCCATATCATCAAACCTCCAGCTACTCTATCTTTGAAACCAACACCCTGGACAGTATTACCTTATGTTCACGATAGTGTCCTATTTTTCACCAAAGATTACAGTAGTAATTTGATATAATATCTTTGGCCATAATAATGCAAGTCATTTCTTGACTTCTATATTGTGCCTTGGTAAGTAGTGCTTTGGAACTCAGGATAATAGTAAACTGGGACTTCCAGCCCATTTCTAGGGCATAATTCGGAAGACACAGAACTTCTTCTTGATAAGTCATTAAAAAAAAAAAAGTAACAGTAGATTCAAACTCATTACGTCATCGATTCTTTTTTCATAATCAAGACATTGTAATCAATGTGCCAAATAGGGAGAACTTTGAGAGACTTTTGCAGGCAACTAGAGGATACAATCAGCGGCACATAATTACCTGCGTATCCAGCTTGTAAGGATTAGGCATTTCTTCTTGCTCCCAAGACTTGCGTCGTGGCCTGGAGGTTAATCCCCAACCAGGTCTGTCAAAAGCGACGACAGCACAACCGACCTGCCGTGAAAGCACTCCCATAACATGCCTCCACGAAAAGACTCCACCTCCAAATCCATGTATTAAGACAATTCCAAATTGACCACTATTGGAATCTTGCCCAAAAGTTGAGTTCAAATTTTTTGCTTGGTCCTCCACATCAGCATCATCCAGATTCAATGCAGGAATTTCTTCAGCAAGCATAGGATAAGGTACGGAGCTGTCCAAAAGTGGAGCATACAGCGAGGACGTGTTGAATTGACTGCTATAGCTCCTCTGAAGATATTGAGATTTTGGCAAAGCACTAAATGCTTGCCTGTCAATATTTAGCCGAGCCATCACTGTTTGTGGCGAGGTGCAGTTAACATTGGGCTCCGAGAAGGCAGCCGAGGACAAAACATGAGATGGTGAACTAGGGGAGCAGAGTTTATAATGGATAGTAAGCCCTTGGCATGTCATAAATAAGCTGTCAACATCCGTGAGGAATCTGATCGGGATATCACCTTCGCCATGAGCAGACCCCATGGGCTTCTGCCTCGTTTCAGAGTCACTTTTTGTAGTTTTCCCAGCAGTTGGAGTCGGTGACCTTGGGACCTTTTGGTAAACGGAGAAAATGGTTTTGCAGGAAAGAACCTGTTAAATTTAGAGTATGCAAGAATACATTCAGAAAGAAGCACACTCAAGCAATTCAAACCACAAATAACTCAGGCAAATCACCAACTCATGCTTGCGAAGATAAAATTACTTATGCCGCGGATAAGATTTTCATAGCTGGCTCGGACAAGATAGATTTTCTTTCTTTTATGTTATGCAGCAGCAAAATTAATCCAAACTTACTGCTTCAGGATCAACTCGGTGAAATAGAAGTTTCCTCCGTGCCCGGCAGCTGGTTCTATAAGCAACCACAGTATGGCCCAAAGCAAATACGACCGAAGACAGGAATAAGACAGGCATGCCCCATGACTTCTTCAAATGAAGTTTCTTCCTCGCAAGGGAAGATGGAACTTCAGCTACTATTTGAGAGTTTATAGAAAAAACACAAGCCTTGACCGAAAGAATGAGGATGGAGATGACGGAGGACAGAGTAACGGTTCCCAGATAAGGCCCGTGAGAGAGAGCAGGACCATCGCATATCGCATAAACACCTGTTTGCAGAGTAAACATGAGCAAGCACGTAAATGCATTTCCTTCAATTCTCCTACAGAAATCCTTACGGTATCAATCCACACCAATTCGACACGGCAAACAAAGTTATCAAGCCCGCGACACCAGTTACTAACATCAAATGACTTTCTAGGAATTTTAAATTACAAAAGCCACCCATGACTCGAATGACAGAATTTATCAATCTCAAATTGCTGCGCGCCCTTGTAAAATCGCTCCCGAGAGTTCATCAAAAGCCACAAAAGCAAATTCCAAGTTGCCATTTCACATTCCTATTAATAGCAACAAAGCCAAAAGTTGAAAGCCTAACATTCCCCGGCCGAAGAAAGAGCATTGTCCTAGAAAGAAAGTGTCGTCATCCCTTTAAACAGAGCAAGGCGAAAGTTACTGACGCCAGAGAAAGAACGGCAAATCCTCGAGCTCCACCAAAAAAGAAACGAAAGAGAAAGAGAAACGAAAGCGGTGCAAAACAGGACGGTGAACATACAAATGATGATCAGAGATCTAACGATCGAAACCAACGGAATGTCCGTCAAAGAGCTCTTGAACGAATATCTCCTCAAATGCTCCCTAAATCCATAGCAACTCACGCAAGTGAAGCTCGAGATCAACACCCAGGGCACGAGCACGTCCCCTACCGCCACCAGCACCGGCAGCGACGACGCCAGCAGCGACGCCACCATCGCCACCACGAAGAACGCCGTCCGCACGATCCTCCTCAGCTTCTCCACCAGGTGGCAACATCCCAGCCCCCTCCCTCCCATCTCCTCGCGGCGGCGGCGGCGGCGGCGATCATCCAACGGCGGACGCGGGACCCAGCCGTCGCCGGTGACCAGGCGGCCGTGGTCGGGGTGTCGCCCCGCCGAGGGCGATCAGGTCGGGCTCGATCGAGGGAGGCGCGGAACCCTAGCCGGCGTCGACCGCGGCGGCGCGGTGGCCATTCGCCGTGAGGGGGGGGAGCGCGGCGGAGTGCGGGGGTCACGGGCGGCGCCGGAGATTTCGACGGCGGGCGACGAACGGAGCTTCGAAAGATTTTGAATTCTCTCTCTCTCTCTCTCTCTCTCTCTCGAATGTGAACGGCGTTATTTATCTCGGACTCTCTTTGATATAATCGATCGCCGATTTTTTTTTTTTTAAAAAGAGGAAAAAATAAAAAAAAACAATTAAAGAAAAATTTAGGTAAAAAATGGGTTTAATTAAGGAAAGTGGGGGAAATTAACGTTGTTAATTACATAGTTTATGTAGGATTCCATTGTGTTCCAGGCCTGTTGCCCATCTGTCAGCCTTTTCAGTTTGACTTGACAGAACTACCCTTTCTTCTGGAAATTAAATTTAATTAATTAAATAATTTTCCTTCTTTGTTATTTTTTGTGGGGATAATAATAAAAAAACGATCGTCCAAGACTTTTTTTTTGGACCGTATTGCCATGCTAATTTTCATATTTATAATAGCATGGTCATTCCTAATTAGCGCTTCTAGATGGTTGAGAAGATTTTCTATTTCGGCTCATTTTTTGGAATTTTTTTTCTCTCTTTTCTCGTTGAGGTGTATGAACTTGTTCGGGACCTGGGTTCCGACTTGTAATCAGTAGGGATGGGAATACCGAACCGAACGAGATTGAATTGTCGCGGAAGTTAGGTGGCAATGGTGGAAAGATGAGATCATGATTCATGATTACATTTTCTGGGCAAAAATATTTTCACCCCTCATGGTGATTGAATAAATCGAGTGGTTCACCTAATGCGAAAAAAAAAGTCAAATTTCCATAATATTCTCTGTGGCAAAAGCGATGTAATATATCGCCGGCTTTTACTTGGAATATTACGAACGGCGAAATTCCCTTCGGTCAAGTTATTTTCTCGATAGGCCGATAGAGAAAATCGATTCGATCGAATAAGATAAAAGCGAATAAATTTGCTCGAGATATTTTCTTCCGAAAAGGGAAGAAACAGTTCGATGGATAGATATTAAAACCCGACAGCATTAGCATGGCGGTGCGGGCTTCGCTCCGTTAGTCATAAGGTGCACACGTTTCGGTTTTCAATCGCTCCGTCAATTTGCTTTCACCTTGCGTGCGAGAACGGCACAGACCGTGCGTTCGGAAATGTTTTCTTCGATCCGCGATCCACAGGGCTCACAAATTTCCTTCGAAAAAATTCGCGAGGCATGATAATGCATGTTATAAATAAATAAATAAAAATTGAAAATAGGACAAAAGGCAACGACAAATTAAAGAGGGTTTGATTAATTTAATTAAATAAATAAAATCGAGTCAAATTCAAAAAATGAAAGAGCTGCGCAAGGGACGGCGAGGACATGGAGGAGGAGCAGCGCGAAGCCCGAGACAACGTGGGGGTTGGGGGTGACCGTTGGACTTTGGGGACGGGGACGGATCGTGGTCGGGACCAGAAAATCTGCGCCGCGCGCCCCACCCTACATGCTCCCAGGGTCACGTCGCTCTCGTGCCCCCCCGGGCCCCCGGCCCCGGCCCCGACCCCCCCGGGTCGGACCCCTACGCTTGTCCCCCTCTCCGGCCAGTAGCGGTATCTCCCTTCTCCTCTCCTGCCGTACGCAAGCACTGATCGCACAAATCATTTGGATCGCGACGTTCACGTGATTCGATGGCCGCGGTTCACTAGGCGCATGCGTAATGAGCTTTTTTGTCTCGGGCTCGATGCTATTTGAATGCGTGTCTCGCGACAACTTGAATGGCCTCGGAATATGCATAATCTCCGTTGATTCGCGGCTTTTGTTCGACTCGTCACGACTTAATAAGGAGGAGGCTGCTCTCGGTGAAAGTAGCCATTCGTACGACGACTCGACATCGTCAAAACTTTGGCTATTCCATTTCCTGTCAATGTCAACAGTAAGAAATGTTAGAATTAGGCGCACAAACACAACGAAATAGAGAGTAAAAAGTCGCGAAGGAAAAATTGGAACACGAGATTTTATCATAATTCACCCTCAAACTAGGATTATATCTAGCAAAAGATTCCACTATAGTTAACATTTCTTACCTTTTCTGTTACAACTCTCAATTACAAGAAAAAGAGATTATATATACTCAGAAGTTATTCACGGGCCCAAATCCAAAAAAAATAATAAAATACGGGCCCAAATTATGGCGTTTCCCCACTACGACCTTCGTCGGGACAGCTCCTGGACCCTGCCCGCTCACCAAGAAGCGGGACCCCCCGTGTCTTCCCATCGATGGGAAAGTACGAAACACGCCCCCAACAACAAGACTTAACTCGAATTTCGATCCGTATAAAATTGGTCCCGCGCGAAAATAATTATCTTATATTGGAAATTTCGAAAGTGCGGCCAATTGGCACCACATACGTCCGGCCAAATCGCATAAAAAGGGTCCTTCCTCTCTCCACTCCCCACGCGGCTTTCTTAGGGCGTCGTGTTGTGGGTTGTCTCCACATCGTTTGGCCCCCGGTGCATTTGTTGCGCAGCTACAAGCCACTTTTAGCTTCCGCAGAATTGCAGTACCAAAAGCGTAGCATCTTATGATGCTCCGCCGGTACCCTCCTTCCCTTACTCGTCTTTAATCAATTAATCAATTATTATCTTCGTAATTAATTACATTGATCTTATGGCAGGGCAGAGCATAATTTCTTATCTTTATCCGAATAAATTTGATCGATGTGGTCCCTTGTCCCAATAAAATATCTCGCTTTTAAATTTTGTCCACGCCTTCTTTATATCCTTATCGTACGAACTCATCATTCCGAGTCCAAATGTTGAGTATTCGCATTTCAATATTATGATAAACAAGTGTCGTGATCTTCGAGTTCGTTGAGAACTCGACAGTTGCCGTAATGAGCAATCTCTATATGTAGACGCGTCGTTTTATTTTGACCAGTTGCATTGAGTTTCGCGAGGAAAACCGACACAAATGATCCATGAGCTTTGGTTCGATATGCAATGTCGCCCCTAGATTTTTAATTTGTTTAATGCGGTCCCTGAATTTTGGTCCAAAGTTTAATGTAATCCTTAAAGTTTAAACATTTTTATATTGTTTAGGGACTACATCGAACATTTACCAATAGTTCAGGGACCACAATGAATAAATTAAAACTTCATGGACGACATTGCACATTGGACCAAAATTTAGGGACCCTGATGACATTGTATATTTGACTAAACTTCAAGGACCATGTGCACTATAATCCCATTTTCATACGGTGACAAGTCATGTGTATGCGCGAGACTAACTAGATCGATCCGCTCTTTTTTTCTTTTTTTTTGGGTCTTACTCATATCTCTACTATGTATATGTGTGCATGATGTTCATGAGAATCGAAACCCGGACCTTATACTCTCTGACCTCATCCCTCGATACTTTTACCAGCAGGGCCGCATCTCCTTGGCAATCGATCCTCTCTAAAACAACAATCTTTTGGTGCGAGTTTGGTTCTCTTGGTTTCTTGGCCAACGCACGTCACGCCTCGTGGCAGCGTCTCGTTTGACCTTTTGCTGTCTAATAACTAATAAGAAGCAGCTCGAGAGGGCCGGTCGGGAACATCGACGACGTACAAAACAGTGTATCTCACTCTCATCGTATTCGACAAAACTTCGTTGTACCCAAATGATGTTCGCAAACTGTCATCTCTCGTTCCCAAGCTGGACTGCATTGTGTCCGTTTTACAAAGCTTCAAAGGCAGGGAAGGCACCGTTGGATCACGAACAAAAAAGGGACCTCTTTATTAATGAGGACGGCTAGGTCATTTTGGTAACTTTAATCAACAAATTTTTAAAGGAACAATAACACAAATGATTATTGAATTTTGACCCAAAGTGTAACGTGATCTCCGAAGTTTTAATTTGTTCAATATGATCCTTGCACTCTAGCCCAATGTATAATGTCGTCTCTGAATTTTTGGTACATGTTCAAATTAGTCCATAGGCTATATGAAAATAACCAATATTATCCTTTCGTTAATTTAAGTTCGGGGACAACATTAACCATTTTCATATAATCCAGGGACTAATTTGAACATGTACAAAAAATTTCAGAGACCATATCGAACAAATTAAAAATTCAAGGACGATATTGCAAATTGAGCTAAAATTTAGGAGTCATGTTGTAAATTGGGCCATAGTTCAAAGACCATTTATGTCATTTTTTTTTTATTTCTTGAAACAAAAAATAAATAAAATAAAAAAGAAATTCCTGGAAATCCCAAGGAGACAAAAAGCGGGGTTGGAGCATGAAAATGGGACGTAAGGTTGGACCAAAAAGCAAAGCTTCAAAAGCATTGGCACAAATGGACCTGAGTCATTATCCTCTAGTCATCCCAACTTTAGAGAATTGCTGATGTTGCTTTGGGCCCTCCACGTTCCTTTGTGAGTAGACAAGGCTGTTAAACCAAGACAGCCACTGTCTCTCTCTCTCTCTCTCTCTTTGCTTTGCTCGAGCAATTAGGGTCCGTTTGTTTGAAAGAAAAGCTTTCCGATGATGTAAAATGCTTTACGAGAAATTCTTTCCTAGAAAAACGCCTTCCCATTTTTAGGTTAGGGAATTCATATTCTTAACTTTAAGCATGCGCATTTTCTTCGACCGTGAATGGTTTGAATGCGGGAAAGTCCGGAATGCTAATTCATGAGTAAAATTCTTTCGCTCGAATAGACACGCCCTTGGGGATTGATGTCGGGGACAAATGGGTGTCACGTTGTTTTCCACCGAAAGACAATTCGTGCGAAGAACAGCTTTGAAAGGGATTCATGGCAAACATCCACGAACCTCCCGGACTAGGGCCACCATTGAGTTGGAAAAGGGCGATTTGTGTGGACCAACATAGCCCCCATCGAATCACAAATCCACATCATTAGTTAGGTAGGCTCGAAATAAACAATCGCGCGGAATTTCGAAATTCTCATGGAGGGAAGAAAATTTCAAATCACAGCGTCCCCCCCTCTCTTTGTTTTTCATATGCAATCATTAATTTTAAATACATAATTATTAGGGTTAATACCACGAAAAACCCTAAATTGGTACACTTGTGACAGATTTACCCCAAACTATTTTTTTTACCATAAAAAACCCCAAACTG